CCGCCGACTGCGCTACAAGGACGATGAAACAGGGCGGACTTGGGCAGGAGACTCTGAGCATGTGCACCATGTACCGGTCCGGGCTGACACTGCTGGCCCTGCGTCAGTTGAAGCTCTGTGCGCTGGGTTCTGACACGCCGGACGACAGCTGGCATGCAGCCAGGGCACGCACGGAGCTCACCCGGGTGGCAAATCGGATTTGCGACGGCTCTGCGAGACAATCGCTCTTCCGAACCCATCGGCGATGCCATTGGAGGGCGGGCCCAGTAGGCGGGGCCTCATTGCCGCGCGATTCAACAGCCTGATGGAGTCGACACTGCACTTGTCTGGTGGGTACCGAGGGCCAGACTCACAGTTCGCGGCGCGGATCCTGAATACCCTCGTCATGCCCCTGGCTGTGGCTGGCAGCTCGCCCGTGCTGTTCCACGATCTTGCGCGGATAATCGGCATGGATCTCCGGTGTCCCCGCGTGGCCAGGACGATCGTCGACCTTGTTTCATTGCGATTCGATGCTATTTGGGCGCACCACAGCGAGTGCAGCGTCTGGCAGCGCGACTGGTCTCGATTGCAGAACACCGGAGTGTGCGTGGTCGACGCCATACCTGGCGCCAATGGCCCGGTCGCTTCGCATGCGGATCCAGCATGCGTACAGGACGAGCCTTCGATTGTCAAGGCGGGCGGCTGTGGGATTGACGATTGCGTGTATGGTAACAGCAGGGAGCGTGCTTTGCGACAGCTGAGGGTGCTGGGCGACGATTTGGAGCGGCGGCAGGCGGAAAAGGCTAGGGCTGCTCTTGCTGCAAAGGATCGCGCGGACAGGGTTACAAAGCCTGCCCCTACGGAATCTGTATCCATACCGGCACCTGCACCAGAGACTGCGTCCAAGTCTGCCCTCGGCAGTTCTATTTTTGGAAAAGTTGAGGAGGACGAGCTTGGATTCATGCTGTTGCGGCGCCGGCGATCTCGCGCAAACCAGCGATGAAAAGCAATGCTAGAGAGCAGCGCCTGCCTTACTTGCTTCTGTTTGGCTTTTTTATTTTAGCAGCAACAGCAGCGTCAGCATTCATCACTGCCTTTTTTCTCCCGCGCATTCATCTATCAGCTCGATTGTTCTCTCTCCATTGATGAATTATAAGTGTTGGTTTCACTTTTCTTTTTCACTTTTTTTGCCGTTTGAATTGCGTTCCTTTTTGTTTTTAAATTCCCGTACTTGTTAATATTTTCTACTCTTGACTTATCAGCACCAGCCCTAATTCAAGCTATATTTTATACGTCACTGCCGTAACAATACAGCATTGATAAAAACAATAATAACACCGGCATCAACAGAAGCACCATTGTAGCGCTGTGACCATACACCTATTTTGTTTTTGTATTTTGTCCTTTTTTCTTGCCTTTTCACTTGCCTGTTTATTTTACTTCACTTCACTTTCAAATTTTCTTTTTCATTTATTTACATTTATATCGCAAATGCTCAACACATCCGGCGCCGACATTCTTCCAGCAGGCAGTGTCGATGCACGCGCAACCAACGAAAGAAGCCGCGGCAGATCACAATCCGTCTCATCAAGTATACTGAGTGAAGACGAGTTCCACGAGTGCAAGAGTAACAATTCAGCCAGCGCAAAGCTCAGCTTGGGCATCCACACAACGGCAAACGAAAGCAGGGCATTGGAAACAGATAGCATATCCTCCTCATTCACTGAAGCAGTGCCCAAAAGCCCATCAGGGTCGCAAAAGTCACAGCAGCACCGCTACCGCAGCCTAACCAGCTCCGGCGTCCCTTCCGGCAAATCCAGCAGCAATGGTGGAAGCTCGGACAGCATGGACTTATTAAGCAATGTCCCGTTACCGGCAATGGCGCCGACACCCCTGCGGCGGTCGGCGACAACCACAACCAAGGCTTTTGATAAGAGCAAGGGTGCGGTCAGCTCACTGGTTGAGGAGCGCGCTCGGAGGGCAGTCAAGGCCATGGCTGAGGCATGCACCACAGGAATTTCGGTTCGTGAGGCCGACGAGCGGAGGTCACGCGCATTCAACCGGCTGCTTGTTGACAGCCGGCTGCACAGTCAGCTAGAACGGGCTCCCAGCAGCGGATTGGCAGGCCGCGAGGGCGTGCGCGGCAGCAGCAGCAGCGAAAACCTGGCGATGCAGCCACGGCTGAAGCATAATCCCATCCATCAGGTGTCCTCCCATGGCCACCTCTTAGGCGTGGCGGCTGCTCGTAGTAGATCTGCCAAACCCGATGACACAAGCATATTGCCAGCCAGAAACGGCATCCTGCCTGTGGTAAACGCGCTGACGCCAGAGCCTGACGGCCGCACTCTGAGCATGACAAGTGACCACAAGGCCATCATTGTCGCGCGCAGTGCCAGCCTGGAGGCGCGCGTCGACCGGCGCACGCGCGAGAAGCTGGCGCAATGGCTCGTATGCTTTGGCACGGTGCAGTTCGATGTCGACCAGGGCCCGACGCTCAACCTGCTGTACCCGCACGTGCAATTCAGCGAGAGCGAGCGCGCGGCCATCTGCTTCTCCTCGATGCCCGACTCGACGATCCACGAGCTATACGACTCAGTGTACACGTTCCACTTCCGCGTCAACCCTGTGCGGCTCAGACTGCCGAAGGACCGCATCTTTCTGTACGGGCACGTGTTTTTCCGGCAGAAGCGTGACCCGTTGATGCGGCGCGGCGGGTTCCAGCGGTCGGTCGTCGTGATCTCGCACTTGCCATACCACGGTTTGTTCTCGCGCATGGCACACATGCTGGGGCCGCTGTACTTTGACCTGGGCACGGCGATCCTCGAGGCCGCGGCGCAGAATGTCTCGTCGTGGCCGGCTCCCCGTGCAGACGGCGCCTACGAGCTGCCCTTTCTAGGCACGGCGCTGACGGTCGAGCTACCGGCGCGCGATGCCAGCCAGCTGCTGGAGACCAGCAAGTTCCCACTTGAGCGCTTCGACCCTGGCGAGCATATCTTGGCGGGCGTGACGTTTGATGGGCTGTTCCGCAGCTTCCGCGACGCCCTCGACGACCTGTGGGCGTGTTGGGAGCTGATGATCCTGGGCGAGTCGCTGGTAGTGCTGGCCGACACGCCGTCGCGGTGCTCCGAGGCCGTCGTCAGCCTGGTCGACATCATATTTCCGATTACTTACTGCGGCGACTACCGCCCATATTTTACCATCCAGGACCCGGACTTCCGCGCTGTCGTATCCAAGACGCACGTGCCGCCGAACACGGTCGTCGGCGTGTCCAATCCATTTTTCAGCGAGGCGCTGAGCCACTGGCCGCACAAGCTATTTTTGGGCACCTCTGGCCGCATGTCGCAGATGCATGGAGCGTCGGCGCGCAAGGCGCGCGCGTTCAACGAGAACAGCAATGGCAGCAGTGGCATTGGCGGCAGTAATGCGGCCACGGGCGGCGGCTCAAGCGGCGCAGCCGGCAACGGCGCGGTGGGCAGCAAGGGGATCAAGCAGGGTCTGCAGTCCAAGCACAAGTGTGCGATCAGCAAGGACCGTGTGTTCACCGAGCAGCTGCTCAATGCGCTCAAGACGGGAAAGCAGCCGCCATGGATGGTCAACAACATGCTGCGGCGCTACTTTATGGATCTGACGGTGCAGTTTCTGGCCCCGCTCAACCGCTATTTCTCCACGCTCATTCCACAGGTGCAGTCATCGACCGCCATTGTCACGCAGCAGCAGCAGCATAGTCGCGACAGGCAGCGGGCCGCACCCTCCTGGGCGCATGCGCGCGGCCGCGGATCGACTGGGTCGGCATCCATGGCAGCTGGTGCGAGCGCGTCGTCGTCGTCATCGGAGCTGTCCTGGTTTGTGCCACCTGGAAATCTGCGGCCTTGGCGCACGGACGACTTTATGGCGTCGCTGGCGTCCTTCGGCATATCGCCACAGCTCAACAGCCGCCATAACACAGCGACAGCCGCAGACGTCTTTGTCTCAGTGTTTTCGACAAACAGCACCAATGGAAGCGGAGACCAGAACGGTGCCCCGCTGACAGCACCTTCTGCTGGCGGCTCTGGCTCGGCTGGTTCTGCTGCTGGCTTGGCGCAGTCGACCTCGTTTCTGCCGTGGAAAAACAAGAAGGCAGCCTCAAAAAAGATCAGCGACGAGTGGCTGAATCTTTATACCCAGTTTCTCAAGTGCGGCAACTTTGCGACGTGGCTCGCCCGGCGCACTAACGAGGCGCAGCGCGCGTTGCTGTCGCGGTTCCGGCAGGAGATCTGCCGCGGCGATGTGCACGCGTGGTGCCGTGGCTACGACCACCCGCTGGCTCTGGACACGCAGCAGCTGGCGGCCGAGCTCGAAATGCTGGACCTGACCACGATGGACTTGGGCCAGAGCAGCAGCAGCGGTATTGTCGGCGGCGGCGGCAACAGCAGCGGCGGTGCTTCGGCCAATCATTCGCACGTCAAGCACGTGTTTTACCACGGTCAGGCCGAGGACGAGCGCGTCATGGCCGAGAGGCATCGGCAGCAGGCGCTGCGCGAGCAAAGGGAGCGGTTGGCGCAGAGCGAGCAGCCAGTGTACGGCAGTGACGGCGCTCTGATTGGCTACACGCGTCGCAAAACCAATCCCGAAAACGCAGCCCCGCCAGCTGCCGCCCGTGTGCATCCAGTAGCAGCACATGGCGTTGAGGCTGGCGGGGCGGCTGTGCGCAAGCAGCTGGGGCGGCGGATCACGCACGCGCGGAGGCCACAGCACGTCATGCTCCAGGCCGCATGGCAGATTGCAGAGGTTATGGGGCCGCAGGCTATGGCGCGCATTCCGCTGTCGCACCGGTCGACGGAGGCCAATTCGGCCATTGACGCAGAGATGCGAGCCTGCGGGCCTTCGTCGGCCGCCGAGACATTGGAGCTGCGCGCCCAGCTCTCCGTCATGCTCGAGTACTTGGCTGCCGAGGAGGGCTGCCTGTTTCTGCCGCTGGTAGCCGACGACTACGTGGATGCCGACGCCGACGCCGACGCCAACGTCTGAGCCCACAAAACTATTAAAAAGATAGTAGTGCTTGTATGCATGCACGTAATATCTTCCCCCGCTACTGCATTTCTCTTCTTTTTATTGCATTTTCCGCTACTGCGTCCATTAAAGTCAGCATTGGGTGTCACTATCACAGCACCTTGGTCTGGCTTTGCATTTATTTTTTGTTCAGTGGCCGAGAGGGAATATAATGTAATGCCGTTAGCCTCCACGCGGTGCATCCAATACACGCCTTATTTGGCCTTGGACGAGCCTGGGTCGTTCTGACTGGTTGCGTCCTGCGTCCTGCGTCCTGCGCTCCACATCGTCCAACTCGGCAGTAGATGAATTGCAGATTGACCGTGTACTGCCGGGTCAGCTGATTGGTGGGCAACCTGGCTTGCTTTGTCCGCTCTCTACTCCATCCCCAAAGAATGCAGCGCAAAATAGCAGCGGGTCATTCCTTGCGGCTGCTGATGCAATGTTCAGAACCGGTTGGCAAGAATTGCTTTTTTTCTTGCTACTTTTCTTTCCTTTCACCAGCCAAAAGGAAAAGACGCGCAATGCAGCATGAAACAAATAAAATCATGCACATGCGAAAGCAAAGCAAAGCATTTGTGATGGATGATGGATGATGGATGGCACCTCCACATCCCCACTTTTGCAAGGAGCCGGTCATGAAAGGAGGGGGGAGGAGGGGGTGCCAAACGCAGCTTATTTCTGGGTTTGGGAAAAGAAAATGATAATGATAATTCATGGGTAGGCCGAGCACGCACTGTGACATGATAGGAGGAAGGAACGACAGAAAAAACCCAAAGGAGCCTTTTTCTCTCGAGTGAATCCACAAAAAAAATCAAGGGCGAAAAAAAGAGGTGAACAATAAAAAAAACCCGAACCCGAACCTTGCCCTCTCCCTCCCAATCCTTTGCTTTCTTCTTCTCCTCCACCCCGCACACGCGTATATTCGTTTTTATTTTTTTGCTCTCTTTATTTTTCTCTCTTTCCCCTTTCGTTAATTTTATGCGCGTTTATTTAATGTACTTTAGGACTACAATAACAATAATAATTATATAATATTTTTTTGCTTTCGCTCTCTATATTTTTCTCCTAATTTTTTTGCCTTGGTATCGCAGAGTTGTAATAGTCTACCTTGGCCATACTCCATTTATTACGTTATATTTGACGCGCTTTTCACCTTATTTATAGCCCCCTTTTCACTTTCCCAACTCTCTATTCCTCTCGTTTTTTGCGTCAACAGCCCCTGCTCTTCGAGGAACACACGTAAGTACAGCCACCCTGCTGGCTATTTATTTCAATTTTATTTTTGCTCTGCTTCCCTGGCATCAGAATGGTTCTTTTTATTTTACCCGATGTGTGAATATCCCTTTGGTGTGCTTGTCAACCAATCTGTTGCTTACCGCTAGCTGATACTGATATGATTGCTTCGCAGAAACAAAATGAGAAAATATGAAGAATCCCGCACATGCTGTCATTTTTCTCTTCTTTACTCTCCGCATTTTGTTTTCTCTCCTCATTGATAATCGCAACCACACGCGTGTGAGAAAAAATTATAAAGAGCCGCTAGGGGCTGCACCAAAAATAAAAAAAGTGTACTCCCGTATGCAAAGTAGCGCTTGGGTTTTAAAACTGGAGACATACACGCATAGCATCTTTTGTTTTATTTTAATTACAGTTAGCTCCATTGAATCTACCCAATAATCAATGCCGAGCGGCAATTAAAATAGGGGACGTCACTTGTTTAAAATTGGTTTTATTTTATCCTGGCTAAAACCAGAAATGCTTCTATTTGAACAATTTTCATTTAACTTTTCATTCTAACTAATGTTTTCATCCTCTCACTTCGCCTCACCTCATCGGCTGTAAAAAAATAGTAGACTAATTAGATCGTAGAAGCAGCAACCCTCGCACGTACCGCACGCAATTTATTGTTTTGTTCCGCGCACCACACTAGGAAAAAACATACAGTACGATCAGCTCGTGTCTCCACACACTTTGACCATCGCTCTTTCGTTTTTTATTAAATATCCCGTTTTCCCGCGCTTGTATTTCCATGACAACCCATGAAATGAGCCCCCTATCAGACATTGACGTTGATTTGTCCTCCGAGGACGAGTCCAAAATGCAACTCGATGACGCCGCGGCCGAGGCCGAGGCATCGCGCATTCTGCAGGGCGAAAAACTCTACGGCTTCGGCTCCAAGGACTACGCGCCCAACACTCGCCGCATGGATTTTAGCCCCACGCCGCCGCCAGAATCTGCCGAGGCATTGGCCACTGAGTCTGTACCGCACAACGGAATTTCTGCTACCACAACATTGCCCCCACTGTCTGCCAAACCCCAGGCCGATGTCGGATCCACTGCAGTCTCCTCTGCCCACCACGCGTCCGAATTACCCCCAGCAATCACGCAACTTGGAGGCATAGAGGGCTCGACAAACGACGACGATATCGCCAGCGAAAACTGCTTTGTAAAGGAGGGCTCGGTCGAGAGCATCAGCGCACGGCACGCGTCGTCGCCAGCAATCGCAGCTACACCCTCGGCATCGAGGTCGCGCACGAGCATCTGGGTGCACTTTACACGAGACGCCGACTATGCCACCAACCGACGTGGCCGCTGCGTCTACTGCCGCAATTACTACTCGTGCAGCAGCGGAAGCACAGGCAATATGTGGCGTCATATTAAGCGCTCGCATCCCGAGAAAGCCGCCCACGCCGCGCCTCTGGCCACACACGGCTTACAGACCACCCCCCAACAACAGCAGCAACGCAGTGAACCATCCATTCTGTCAAGCGATAGTCGCTCGCGCAAGCGTCAGGCGTCCATGTCATCCCCTATCCAGGATCATATGATGACACCCTTGCAGCCGACACTTTCCGCGCGCGCAGGCGTGCCGCAGTACCAGCAGATGCTGCCGCCGCCAGCGTCACAGCAGATCCAGAGCCATTATCAGCAGGATCAGCAACTTCATCAGCAGTTGCAGACGCAACAACTTCGCCAGCAAATTCAGCAACAGAATCAGCAGCAGCAGTCATTCTATGCTCAACAGCATGGCTCTGAGCGCTCATCAGCTGCTCGCCAGTATGACGACAATGTTTACGGCGAGACCAACAATGCCACAAGGGCTGCGCGCTTGGGGGACTTGGCTGAGGGCTCCGCATTGAGCCCCGATTCATCGGGCGCTAGCACTGAAAATCTGAACCAGGCCCTGAAGCTGCTGCTGACACTCGTCGGCCGCAACACGCAGGGTGCCTCTAATGATCGGGCTAGCCACCAGGCGCAGTCCTCGCTTTTGCTTGGCTTGCTCGAGAATCTCAACACTGCGAGCAGCGGCAGAATCGCCACCAGCAATGGCGACGCAGACCATCAACCGACGCGTCACTTGCGCCATTCCAACGCACCCTTTAGATCCGGAGGAGGCACAGCATTGACTTCTATAGCCGAGGGCGGCCACCAGACCGCTGGCGACCAGCTCAATGCGGGAAGCAGCAGCGGAGGCGGATATGCGTACAGCCCAGCCCACAATGCTTACTACAGCGCCGGTGCTCAGGGCGCGGCTGTGAATCCAGAGAGCATCAATCAGTTTGTTATCGCCGTTGGGGACGCCATCCGGGCCAACACAGAGGCGTCATCTGCTGGCGACAGCTCGCCCACTGTTACCAGGGTGCAAAAGACACTCGATGCCTATGTCGACTTTATGGTGCGCGACTTGGTTTCGGTCGAGAAAATGCTGTCGCCAGGCATGCAGCAGCTTATGGCTAACTTATCCCATGGCTCTACCCCACCCTCGCCCAGCGTGCTCATGGGCGAGCTGCAACGTCAAAAGGATGTCAAGGCCCGGGATCTGCGTCAAAAACTCGATGCGGTGAGCGGTCGCATCTCAATATCCATTGGCACCGGCAAGTTGGCCGGCACGCTCTATCACCTTGCTGTGTACGCCCATTGGACCGACGAGGGTTTTGTGCGGCACAGCGAGCTGCTCGACTGCCACTGCGTCGACGGGCCAGCCACAAGCAGCGACATTATCTTCATGTTTGAGAGCACCCTAACGCAGTACAACTTGTTTGCCAGACTGGGCACTGTGACGACCAATTACACACGCGAGTTTGTCGAGTTTCTTAACCAGGTCGAGACCATCTGCCATGCGCGTGGGGTCACATTCGATCTTGACCGCAACCAGTCCACTTGCATTGTCAGCTCGCTGTTGGACGCCAAGGACAAGCTTTTGGCGATGCTCTACGGCTCGGACGCCGCAGTGTCGGCGAATGACTCTGCTCCCAACACGCCTATTGGCAAGCTGCGCCTGGCAGTTCAGACTTTAAGTCAGCCGGGGGCACTGGGCGCGCAGCAACTTGTCGAGCTGTGTCGCACACGCAGCATTGCCCTGAACACGCTCGACTTTGACTACACTCGGACTTGGGAATCTACGATGGCGCTCCTAGACAGTGCGCTTTCTATCTACTCCGAGCTCTCCAATATACTGAGCAGTGCGACGCCCGCTGCCACAGAGTCCAACGACACAATACTTCCAGAGGAATGGCTTTCACTTTCGCAAACCCATGTTCTTCTACGCATCCTTGACCTCGCGATTACGACGCTCGCGCGCCTTCCGACAGAGTTTCCCAGTATTGTGGATGTTGTGCCCGTGTACGATACCCTAATTGACAACCTGCAGGGCTTTTTGCAGACCGTCTCGCTCGATAACTTGGTGCGCCGGACGGGCGAGTCTCTTCGTGATTACCTGGCTCAGTGCCATCCGTTCCAGTCGTCGCCAATTTACCGCCTGGCGCCGCTTTTCGACCCCCGCCTTAAAACCGCTTATTATGCGGACCGTGGTCTCGACGAGGCGTGGACTAGTCGTACTATGCGCGAGGCGCGCTCGATTCTCTCCGAGTACATTGTGCCCATTAGCAATTCAAGATCTGCGGGTAGCGCGAGTGATGATAATGGAGCCTCTTGTATCTTTGCGCCAACGGCAGCAATAGCAACGGCTGCTCAGTTGGCAGATGACACTGGCAGCCAGCAGTCTGTCATTAAGTCGCAAATCGATGCGTTTATCCAATTGAGCAAACCCTCGGCTACTAGCCAGCTGATCGCCGACAGCAAGGCACACATCTTCAAGCGCGCCTTGGCGAGTGGACGCACAGAGCTCGATGAGTATATTAGTGCGCCGCTTGCTTCTCCGTCCATGTCGGTCTTGTCTTGGTGGCGTATTCATCATTTGGCGTTCCCGGGGCTGTCAAAATTGGCTCGCGAGTACTTGTCCATTTCGGCTTGCAGCAATAATTTGACTGCCTTGTTGCTCGCTAAGACTGGAGGTGCTGCTGCTGTTACTGGTAGTAGTGGACGGAGGGATTACTCGCAGTTGGTTGGAATGGATAAGAAACTCGTCGGTGTTTATATTTGCCTTAATCAGTGGCAAGCTGTAAAATCGCCGACGGTTTAAATTTTCTGTTTTATGACAGCTACCCTCCTATTTTTTATTTATATTATTCCCCTTCTTTTTTCTTTTTCGTTTTCATTTTCGCTTCGGTTTTCCATTTTCGTTTCTTTTTCTTTTTCTCACGCCATGGTTATTATCAATGAACAATGCGTAGCTTGGGTTTTCATATCTTTTTTATCTTGCCGCGTACTTTTCAACTTAAATTTTTTTGCGTGCGCTTTTAAATATAAATATTTTATTTATTCTTGTAATTAGACCTCTATTATATTACAATAATACAACAATACATGCAGTGAGCACTATTTACCATTTTTAAAATATCCAGAGATGCTTTGAGCTATTCATTTTAAAAAAACTGCGCAGTCTTGATTAATAGGCCATTTTCTAGATGGTAATTGTTTTAGATAATTATTTCATATTAACACGCTACTACTCCCCTAAATTTCAAACCTTGTTATACGCTGAGTGCAATACCATATTAAAGAAACAATTGTATTTATCTAGTTACAAATGTAGCATTCAATTATTAACCCCCATTTTGAAGATCGCGTATCCGGTTAAGTTAATGAAAATATAGTGAAAATATATTATTACGTAATTGCTATTAAATATTTGTCCTGCCTCTTTTATTGTAAAATTTAAATTTAACAAAATACAATACAAATTTATTAGAGGACCTTATAAAAGGACAAGCAAGTCACTAAAAATGTATTGCTTACACTTCTGTTGAGCAACCTGATGATATGGAAGTGGATTTCGAGGTTGAAAGTTGTGAAACGAGTCTTCATCAACATGCCGGTTGATAGGGTATAAATGGTACCATGTAGGATCAAATCAGGGGACATAATATTGACGCCCTGATATGCCCCCATTTCATAATGTACATGTACGGATGCATACATGCAAAGATCATAACATTGACATGCCAAGACACCAGTCTGTCTGCAGAATAACCAGTTCTCGCCAACTGAGTGCAAAATCGGTGAAGTGTGCAATAAAGGCAACGAGACACATATATGAGGTCGTCTCAGTTACGCTTTTGATCTCATTGATAAAAAAGTTTATAGACTAACACCCCATATTTCTAACAGTACCATGGTAGTGCTCCCCCCACCACCCCCTCTTATTATAACATTTCTATTCAACTTTATCTGTAATGAGATTTGGACTAGCTATAATATATGTTAATAAAAATGAGACTACGGAAAGAGCTGAAGAGCTCACTATTCAGAATTCGCCGTACGCGTAAAATATCATAAACATATTTTACGCGTCTGCGCTGTCACGTGACTCGGCCCCCATTTCTGATGTCACATTATCAATTCAACATTTAAATTCCTGTTATAAAACCTCTTACCTATTTTGCCTACATTTCTGCTGCTGCTGCCACTGTCATCGTAGCCTTAACCAACAAGGTCAAGGAAGCACACAAGTACCCTATGGCCAACTACAAGAAAGAGTATATTCTCACCCAAATGATGTAGCCCAAGTACTTTCCAAGTATAGAGATATTACCAGTATGATTGGTGTCAGCAGATGGATTGAATCTGAAAAGTACATGGTATCTAGCGAGTATATGCCCAAATATATTGATAATAAGGGATTCAGATGTTGAATATCATGGACAGTTTTTAAACGATTAGAATAATCTTAAGAATATTATTGGGTATCATGATAAAATCTTTGGGAATTTGATTCGCGTATAAACCTAAACAATTTTAGCGCTTAGGTTTACATGGAATTATACCAGTTGTAAGAAAAAACATTCTACTTTAAATTAAAATTCGCTAGTGTTTTTAATTCTGACTTTAATTGGATAAATGCTATTAATTTATTATGTGTTATAATCAATTTATTAAAAACCAAATTCTACTCTATTCCAATGTTGTTCAGATATCTACTTGTGCACGTCTGGTTGCAGAAATAACTTTTGCTCTTGAGTAGTGGGCGACTACATGTCCGACAAATGTCAATATCCATTATATAACTGCTTTTAGGACAATGGTATTTAACGGGCAAGTAGAATACTTGTTTTACTGCTGCCATGTCTCTCGTGCTAAAGTTGCTGTTGTTATTATTGTGCGACATAGGTCAAATCGAATAAATCAAAAGTATATCTGAGCGAAGGTGGTTTCGAATATTGTAATACTAAATATATTTAAAAAATTTTATACGAGACAAGAGAGGCTGCTGCCAAAAACTCTATTTTTGCTGTTTATTTGTCAGCTGTGGAAAAAATGATTGGCATCGTTGTAGAGATGTCAATCACTACACAAAATGATATTGGATATAGCAATATTATATATTTAAAAATTGATATATCTATGAATTACATGGATAATTAAAAACAACTACGTTTAGAAAATTAGTGGCTTATAAACCACCAGCCCGCTTATTTTTCACATACTGGCTCAACATGCCGTAGAACCAGTACATGTGCATGGGAAACACAACCAATATTATCTTCCACACAAACCTTTGTTCAGAATACAAATAAAACTTGCAGCCCAACGCCACATGCAGCACAATCCTGGTGACAAAAAAGACCACTACAAACCAGATATCGCTCCGCCACTCCTTCCTGATACTGCCCAATGCAAGAATTATTGTTGGAATTTCGTTATAAAAGAACATGCAAAATATACCAGCCGCCCCATTTATAGCCAAAAATATGGCAATTGCAACGTAAAGTGTGTGGTGGATGTACCCGTTTACCAGTGTTATTGATGATTGGTAATAGAGAATCCCTAGGAGGAGGTCATAGAATAGATATGAGACAAAGAATCCTAGAAGACCAAGTGAAAATGGGTCGCTTTGGATTATAATGCTGATGTCGAGGCCGCCAAGAAATATCGGAATAAAATAGGGTGTTGCACATGCGGTTAACAGTATACAGCTTGTGGTTGTGAGCACCCAGGATAGTTGCTTTTCATTATTGAACATTCCGCTGTGCCAGGCAACGTAGAATACTAGGTTCAGTAGTATTGTTCCGACAAAAAAGCCAGTAATAAAATCCGTTGGTAATAGCAGCAGCATGTATTTTTAATAGTTTAAATTTAAAAAATAATTGAAAAATTGAAACAAGTAATAGAAAAGAAATGGAAAAAGCCATCAAACAAAAAAATAAATGTTCTTGACGTGCACTTTAATTACGCTAAATTTTTTGTTTAGGCTGTTATTGATGAACAATACAGATAGAGTATACATTGTTTGGCCAGCAAATAATTGAATGCTCGTTTACATTTAACAAGCCAATCCATACATTATAGACCGTGTATTGTTTTAACTTGAAATCCACCATAAACCAATTCAGCAGATTATTCAAGTCAATGCATATTTAATAATTCTTGTTCAAGCTCAAACGCCTCCACAACACTTTCGGCTCATGGACTTTGGCCTTGAGGTCGAAATTGTATTTTGAGACGACAGAAGAAATAATTTCCACACATACATTATTTATCTTTCAGGCTCTCAATATGCTCATTCTACTCGACACCCCAAATAACAAAACCCTGGCATTCGATGTCTGCAGCTTGCAGCCACTCGAGGATCTTGCCCAGCAGGCAGGTCAGAAGCTCTACGGCTCCCACATCCTCCATACCAACACATACATTACCGGTCGTCGCGGCATCAGCGCCAGTGAGGCATTACTTCGGACCCCGCCCTGGCTGACCCTGTGTCACCGTACACTGGTGGCAAGGGTGGTTTCGGTAGCATGCTGCGCTCGCAGGGAACAAAACATCCAATAAGCCGGCCAACTTTGACAACTGCCGCGACCTCTACGGACGCCGCCTAAAAACCCTAAACGAAGCCAAAACCATTGTCGAAAACATTGAGGCGCAGGAAAAGGAAAGAGAAAATGCCAAAGAACGCAGGCGCAAGAAGATTGCCGACGGATTGGTCGAAAAGCCAAAGAAAAAGTACAGGTTTGATGACGTTGAATATACGAAAGAATGCGAGGAGATTGTCGAGAGCACGAGGGCAATTACGCGCAAGGCAATGAAGAAAATGGCAGCGGATGTTAAAGCATCGGCTTCTGAGAAGAAGAAGCAGGCTGAAATGATGATTCCATTGTTTGGCGATGGTCTGGATGATCTGGATGGCCTTTCTTCGTCGTCGTCATCGTCGTCGTCGTCGTCGTCGTCTGATGAAAGTGACAAAGATACCAAGAGCAGTGCCGATGACAAGAAAAGCAAGCGTAAGCGCAAGGCGGTGGATTAGCGCAGGTCCAAATCCAGGACCAGGGGTGAAAGGCTAATGTTAAAGAGCGCATCAAAAAAGTACTGTGTGATTTAACGCCCGATTAATGCAACTCTTGAGCATTCGTTCAGTTCTCCGGTCATTTTTACATCGTTTCTTCTTTTCTTTTTATTATTATTATTATTATTTAGACCACAAAAATCTGTATCCACTTCATTAACCTTTGGACACATTTTGCAAGCGCTTATAAATAACTCGCAATGGTACGGCAACCGCACAGAACGAATCATTCAACTGTTGTCAGCACATTTTAGCGCTCTTTTCATTTGCATTTTAGTAATATCCAAGCAAGCATTGCTATATCTCTATATCGCACACCACTGATATTGATTTTACATTATTGTGTAGCTCCGCTCCAAATACTTTCTCCAGTCTGCCAGCCGTCTGGTCATTTCCTCGCGAACTGCCCTTATCCGGCCCAGGCCAACCCCTATCACTCCACACAATAGATCGTTCACTTTGAGCAGCAAAATGATGGCGGCACAATTTACTGTGAATATCCAGATCAAGTCACTGGACGAGCTGGCTAAGATCAATGACAAGTCGCTGATTCAGTCGCAGGCGTACGTCGATGGGAGATGGGTCAGTGCGTCTTCAGGAAAGACCTTTGACGTGACTGACCCCGGGACAATGCAAAAGATTGGCAGCGTGGCCGACATGGACGCCGATGATGTCAGACGGGCCATCGACGCTGCGAGCCGTGCCTTTGAGAGCTGGAAGAATACCACTGCAAAGGAGCGCTCTCTGATCCTGCGCAGGTGGTTTGATCTGATTATCTCAAATAAAGATGATCTGGCTAGGTTGATGACGCTGGAGGGCGGCAACCATTGGCCGAAGCGTCGGGCGAAGTGGTGTACGGTGCATCGTTTATTGAATGGTTTGGCGAAGAGGCCAAGCGCGCCTACGGTGATGTAGTGCCGTCGCCGCTCAGCAGCACGCGCATGGTGGTGTTGAAACAGCCTGTGGGCGTCGTCGGCATTATCACGCCATACAACTTTCCCAACGCGATGATCACGCGCAAGGTCGGCGCTGCGCTGGCCGCCGGCTGCACTGTAGTGGTGAGACCGGCCCACGAAACGCCGTATTCAGCCCTGGCGCTGTGCGAGCTGGCTGAGCGCGCCGGCGTTCCACGCGGTGTTTTCAACGTTGTGCCGTGCTCAGCCGAAAACACGCCCGATGTCGGCAAGGAGCTGACCACCAATGAAGCCATCCGCAAGGTGTCGTTTACTGGCTCCACGGCCGTTGGCAAGATGCTCACTGCGCAGGCCGCCGGCACCATGAAGAGAGTGTCGATGGAGCTTGGCGGCAACGCGCCCTTTATTGTCTTTGCCGACGCCGATCTGGACGTCGCCGCCGAGCAGCTTGTCGCGTGCAAGTTCCGCAACTCGGGCCAAACATGCGTATGTGCCAACCGCATTTATGTCCACGAGTCTGTCTACGACGACTTTGTCAGCCGGTTTGCTGTCCTGGTTGAGAAACGCTTGCGCATTGGCCATGGGGTGTCAGAGGGCGTCAATTTTGGCCCACTAATTACCGAACGCGGCCTGCAAAAGATTGAAGATCAGCTGAAGCGTGCTGTGGATGCGGGTGCTCGCGTGTTCCTTGGCGGAAAGCGCCCGGATATTTCAGCAGCTGGGTACTTTTTTGAGCCCACGATCCTTGTGGATGTGACTGATGAGGTGCCAATGTCGTGCGAGGAGACGTTTGGTCCGCTGTGTCCAGTATTTAAGTTTAGCTCTGAGGAAGAGGTCATTCGTCGTGCGAACAGCGTGCCGGTTGGGCTGGCCGGGTATTTTTTTAGTCGCGACATTGGACGTGTGTTCCGCGTGGCAGAGGCCCTGGAGGTGGGCATGGTCGGCGCCAACACGGGAATAATCAGCACCGAGGTCGCTCCGTTTGGAGGTGTCAAGGAAAGTGGTTTTGGCCGCGAGGGATCACGCTACGGAATTGATGAGTACATGAATATCAAGTACATCAACATTTCTCTGTAAATGTAGGGTTTTTTAAATTATTATTTTTATAATGGTCAGCAATACTTGCTCTTTTTTATTTCCCACCTCCAACCGAATCAATTATTCTATGCTCATAATAAAATGGATGGCAAAAAAATGAAACCCAACGTGGCTTTGTCTTTATTAAGTACGTATTGAAAAGTGGTCAATGTGTCAAAAGCAAGTTAGATGCAACGTTACGGTTCGTTATTGAAGATTTTGATAAAATTGAACTCTTTTATTAGCAGTACTAAACCGTATTTTGCTACAAAATTTTTTGCGCGTATTCGTCGTCATCAAGGAGCTGAGCAATATCCGCGTTTTCTTTATGTGTAGATTCAGCACCCTTGCCACTGTAAAGACTATTTTCGTATGAGGCAAAATGGGATGAAGCAAGATGAACACTACCAGTTAAATATATTTTTGTTGTCCGTATTGGATTCTGAGAAAGGTTTTGTAAACTTGTAGGATGTATACTATGTATAAAGGTGCATTAAATATAGTACTATTTACTGAAAGAGAAGAAAGAAAATACAAAACTGCGTTGGGTCACTATGTGACTTATAAGTGGTTGTGCGTTTGAATAAACAGCCAAGACTGGCTAATCAGCTGATTGCAATCGACTAATAGTTCAGCTTTTCAAATGCGAAAAAACAAACTTTTATTTTTGATAATACAGCTTTCCATCATATTTGTTGTGTTTCGTGTGAAATCACAAAATTTGAATTGCGCCAAGTGTAGATCCAAATTTAATAACGGTTATGAGAAAAGTGCAAACAAGTTTGTATAAAAATGACGTACATCTTTTTTGTAAAACATTCAAGTCGTGCATGAGTTCAAATTCCATGTTGCGCATTGAAATAAAAAATATATATGAGCACAATGTACCCCGATCGGTAAACTTTATCAGCATATTTTGTGCAAAATCATTTTGTGGGTAGAATAGATGCTACCAAGTTGACATACGCACTAAGAATACAGCAGTGCGTAACTAAAAATACTTTGTGTGAATTCTTATTTATGGCAACTGGGAAAATAAAGAAATTTTTAGGTTGGCAGGTGGGCCGAATCGAAAGTCAATCGCTATTTACCCTGGGCCACGCGCCCTTTTTATTTCAAGGCATGATTTCCGTGGAAGAAAATCCTCGCTTTGTGAAATTCGGATGTGCAGTTTTTCCAGACATTTGCTTGTTTTGGTGTTTGTTTTTGTTTTCATAATTTTTTTGATAAAAGCATGGGAAAATGATTGTCGTGCATTGCCCAACATAGCTGCGATCGACTAGAACCCGGGTACCCTTGATATTTTTATATTCAAAAAAGATGGTGCGATCGACAGACGTTAATTGAAAATGCAACCTTTCACAATATTCTATACATGCTGTAGGTTTTCTTTGCACCACTAATATATAGTATCTAAAATGCAACCTATTTAATTAATGTGCAGAGTGTGCATCAATTGGAGCTGTTGCGATACTGTAGCATACCGGCACCTCGGACAGAGTTTATAAGATACACAAGAACTAATCGGATCTGGAAACAACTACGCGTTGTGGAGTCACTTGGCAAAATTCATGTATGCGTATACCAAATTTGCATTGAAACTCCAAAGATGCAGTTTGCAAAAAGTATGCAAGGTATTAGGATACTGAGCATGATTATGTGCGCTGTGAATAACCAAGGTTTTCCAAATGTTTTATATTAATCTTGGAAAATGTTAACAAATCAAAATTGGGAAACTACCACATCTGTCCAATACTTTAAATAATTACACTGCCTGTTGTGGTAGCTCTGTTGATTACAGAATTGTTCGTCCAATGCCAAATCCGCCTTTTCTGCTTGTTAAACTATTAGGGGGCTGAGAAAAAACCATGTGCGGTCTGGTAATGGTGTTGGCGTCCTTGCCACTATAAATGCTGCCCTTTGCGTAAAGAAGCCCCGTTTCATGTCTTCCCATGGTGCTATCCATAACGGATCCCGCGTAAGTGGTGGCGCGGCAATGGCGTCCAAGCTCACGTCGTACTCCTTCTGCAGCCGTCGTCGCGCAGCTTGGTAATCCAGTGAACTAGATAGCGCTGCCTGTTGAATATGCAGTTGTAGAGGGGTATTGACATGACGAGCCACCACATCGAATTAACACCGATGTGGCTCAGAACCGTGTATATAATGCGCAAGTTCTGAACAAAAGGATACGGATTCTTGAGCGGCGCATAGTTCAGAATCGTAGAATACACAATGTGACCAAGTACAATGATGCACGTTACCACCATTTCGCGGGTCTCGTTAAACGAACTCTTGATGTTTCGGATCATCCAATGGAAGCCAATAACTACGGCCACGTTTGTACACATAAACGCATACAGTGTAGTTTGGTAGTGCGAGTGAACGTTGCATATGTCGATGGCGGGCATGTACTGAGTTGTGATTCTGTCCGGGAGCACCTGCGAAACAACTCCAAAAATGAGGATACACAACCAATAAACGCCCAACACCAGATATAGAGCCCAGCTGTGGTACGTTTGATGAAGATGGAAGATGCGGTATAGCCCATACGCCCTCAACGTCATTAGGGAAAACACACCACAAACACCCAGCAGAAGTCGCATCCAGATTCCAAACCCTTTGCAGTTGGTCATAGCCGTGTTAATCAAAGGCACGTGCCCATTGCCCTGAAGATCGCCGATAAACCAAATCGCCATTAACACCATCATCATCGCCATGACTTTGACACTTTTAGCTTTTATCGGCGGATAGTTTCTGTGCCACAGCATGTATACGACCGCTAGAAAGTTTATGCAGTATACTATGGTAAATACAATAATTGTAATTGCATCTGCCTTGCCTCGGGGCTCGATGTATAGAGGGACCATCGCGCCAATCGCCTGACGCTGCACCTCGTACTCAGTCACTGTGAAAGATATTTGGTTGCCCATTGTGAAAAAAAACTGTCGGTGGGTAGGCGGGCCAAGGATATTCTAGAAAAATAGAGGTACGAAAATACACTCAAAATACAGTCTGTGGCAAAATATTATAAGGGCTCGTGGTTTAACAGCTAAAATATTTAAATAAAAAGAGGTAAACAAATTAAAAAGGATATATAAAATAGAAACTAGGAATCGCCAATTGTCAAATAAGAGGAAACGACAATGGTTTTATAAATAAAAGTGAATACACAAATGCGTGCACGTCAAAACCACAAAACACAAGCATTCTCCAAGTGTGCGTGTGTGTGCAAAAAGGGGAGGTTCATCCTACATGCCATTCGATTTACCTGGCGTTCTCTGCTATTTTTCTTTGTAGAACAGGGTACAGAAATTTTGAATAAGTAAAAATATATGTAGTCGCAATCACTCACTGGTCGATTTTCTAAGAAATCAGGTTTTCTTCAAGTGGAAAAATATGCATTGGAAAATATCAATTCACCCAAGATTTGCATTTGATTGCAACAATCAGGGCAAAGAACTTCAAATAGCAAAATCCTTTTTTTCTTTTGGCACAAAAAGTCAATGTTATACATTGCAACTCGGCAATACACAAATGTTGTTTGGAGGCAAGCTTGAGCTATAAAGAGGAATTGAATCTACCTCTTGCATTGGGTGCAGGATTTGTCGTTATAGCAATGCGCGGTATAGTCAAGCTTCAGTCTGAATTGGGGTAGAATGCAAAAAAGCTGAGGTGGCTTGTCATGTATTGAGCAACACAAACTTTAAAGGGTTTGCTAACCTTTTTTATTTGGGTCAAATTGGAACCAGTGACATGTCACATGTTGCCAGCATTGCGGAAAGATACGAGCAGACTTGTATTTCAACAAAACTTGAAATATAAAAGTATACATCCTTGACATCAATTCCGCTTTTTTCAACATTATTATTTTGACAAAGAAAATACAAGCACCGGTTCCAGTCTTAATTTTGGTTGAAATTGGCCGTTTTTGATTGAGCAATCTGTAATCTATTTTTAAACTAAACGAAAAGAATAAAAGCGCACAATGAATTGTAAAAAAATGTTGTAGCCGTGTTATGTGAAATAATCAGAGCGAACTGGCTCGAACAGAAAATAATGTAAAAAATTGAGATGTGTTGCCTAGGGTACCAAGCGCGCATTGAAACAGCATAAAAACAAGTGTAATTATGTTTACAAAAATAAGTAAATTAGCTCTTACAAGCACTGGGCTGCGATTATTGTATTTATTACTCTATAACATTACCAAATCAAGCATAAGCCCTAGAGTCTAAAGGCTAATACCTCAAATGACGAACCACATATGTGTTGTATGCACATCTTTTTAATTAATTTACTGTAATATATATATATGCTACAGTTTCCGATAATATGATCAATGGCTAATTTAGTAAAACAAAATATTACATTATAACACACTGAAACCATTATGTAAATTATTTATGTTTTCTCATCGTTTCCGTACTTGTGATTTCCGGGAGGCTGAAAAATACTATGTGCAGTCTGGTAATGGTGTCGGTATCCCTACTGCTGTAAATTCTGCCTTTTGCGTAGAGATCCCGTTTTGTTTCTTCTCAAAGCTTTGTTCAACAAATATGACTCGGGGTTGGTAGTGGTGGCAGCGGCAATGGCATCTAAACCCACATCGTACTCCCTCTGCAGGCCATCGTTGCGCAGCTTGGTAACCCAAAATTCTAGATAGCGCTGCTTGTTGAATATGCAGTTGTACATAGGCACGGCCATGACAAGCCACCACATTGCATTGACACCAACATGACTCAGAGATGTGTATATAATGCGCCTCTTTTGCCGAGGGGATACGGATTTTTGAGGGGCGCATAGACCATGATGGTTGCAAATATAAGGTTGGCAAGTATTATAGCGCAAGTAGCCACCATTTCGCGGCTCTCGTTGAACGAGCTCTTGATGTTGCGAATCATCCAGTGAACCACCACCACAATAGACACGGTGACGCATAAAAACATGTACATTGCTGTTTGGAATCCTGAATAAACGTTGCACATGTCGATGGGGATATATACTGAGTTGTGCCTCTGTCCGGGAGTACTTGACCAACAACTCCAAAAGCAATCACAAACAACAGGTATACACAGAACGGAAGATATAGCCCTAGGCTGTAGTACGGAAGACAAAGACAAAAAATGCGGTACAGCCCATACGCCCCAATTCATTAGAGAAAATACACCACATATGCCCAAAAGGATGCGCATCCAAAATCCGAATGCCTTGCAGTTGGTCATGGCCGTGTTAACCAAAGGCACGTGCCATTGCCCTGAAGATTGCGATAAACCACACTGCAGACAGTATCATTACTAAAGTCATTATTTTTAAAATTTTGGACTTTAATGGTAAATAATTTCTGTTCCACAGCATACAAGCAACTGCTAAAAAGCCCAGACAGCATACTACGATAAATACAATAATTGTGATTGCATCTGCCTTGCCTCGGGGCTCAATGGTTATGCCTGCCATCTCGCCAATCTTCTGACGCCGCACCTCGCCCTCGTTACTGTGAAAGATATCTGGTTACCCATTAGAAATAATAAGAATGGTTGTTTGTTGTTTGGGTGATAGTAATAAATTGTAAAGGTTTTTTAAAAATAAAAATGTCGTAAAATGCACAAAAAATTTATAGATTGTGGTTGAATAATAGCATAGAAAATATATAACCGCGAATGTAAGGAGAAATGTAGAAATAAAGGAAAACAATAATAATAAAGTACAAGCGGATTTACCAATATATAGAAAAAGTTGAGGAAAGGGTTGAAGGGGAAAGGGGTGAAGGGAAACAGAATGTCCAAATATGGATTGAATAACATGCAAAGAATATCAAATCGACCTTAAATAAATTTAAGTGCGTGGATGTTGCAAAAGCCCCTGGCACCCTTTTTGGTCAATTTTTTTTGCAAAGACAATTTTGTACCTAGAATAATAAAAGCAAACATTCCAAATTTATTTAAATCCCGGATCTACAGAGTATAAATAAAAATGCACTTGAAAATTGACATTGAAGAAAATAGATTGTCTACATTTTCACGTTGCTAAAAAATAATCTATTAAAAAATAACAGCTTTTTTAGTTTTCCGTGGAGCAGACTTTGCCTAAGTGGATGATCTGAATCCATATCCAGAAACAATACTTTATACTCCGCCAAAAACATTGCACGCACGCAATAATGATTAGCGTAGAAATTAAATCAGCGGTAATAGAAAATTATATTAGCCACGGCCAAACCTGATTTTAACAGGTATAAACAATATAAAAAATGTTTTTATTGTTGGTTTTTTTAGATTATGCGTAATTAACCCACACAGAAACTGCTCAGTTTATCTTGGAACTTCACTGGGATGGAATTGGGGCGAAACCCTACAATCACACTGCTTAAAAATAAAAATCATGACATGAGACCAATAGTTTATTATGCCAAATGATCGCTTATTTCACTGCTTAAGTCGCTGCCCTAGATTAATTTTGTTATAGGGACATGTAGCCAGGTCTGTTACGTAGCAATGTCGATCATCAGTGGCACTGATCCTTGTCAAAAGCTGATCAAAATCAACGGACGTGTATATTGTAAGAGCAACACGGCCGTGTTCGCTTGTCTTGGAAATGTTATAAATACCAAGCCAGCAGACCAAGAGTCGAGAATAAAAGGTATCCAGCAGAAGCTTTAATTATCTAATTAATAAACATTCAATAGCACCGTTTACAATAATATCAACCATACGCGGTTTTAAGGTCTGCAAGATGGCATGGTAGACAATCAGTCTCATTCATCAACTTTAGTTTAGTTTGCTTTTGCTTGTTTTATATCTCGCTCAATATATTTATTTTTTCTTATTTCATTGCTTAAAAAGGAACATTTGAAGCGCACTCCATGGCTCGATTTTATCATTAAATATTTTGTCATCAAATTTTCAAATTGGCAACGGCTCATTTATCAATTTATCAATTTTTCAGTTGTTGTTTAGATTGAAATTTGGAATATTTTTGAAATATAAAAAATTCTATAAATATGCTGGTTTGTACTGCCCATTTCCAGGCCATTTTTCCGACGCCGATGGGGGTGAAGATGGCAGGAAATCAAGCGTTGCAAACCCCAGCTATTGCTTGCTTTAATGCTTGACCGCTGCTAGTTTAACGCTTGACCGTTTCTTGATCACATTTTGACCACTGTCTCATGTCAGAATGTTTTCTAAAATTAATCACTCAAAATTTGAAATTTGCAAGTATGCGCATTTCCATGGCTCTGAACATTTTCATATTATTATTTCATATTCAGCTCTGATTATTTAAATCATTCCTGGCAACTAGTAATTAGTTAGGAAATTGAAAATAATACACTTTTAAAATTGTCAAGTATCCAATTCCGTTGCAGCCGCAACTACCGACGCTGCTGATTCTGTCGCAGCAGCAGCCATCGCCGTTTCTGTCCAACTAAAACTGCTGCCGGCGCCGCATCTATTACGGACAGTGCGTAGCAGAGGCGCAACCAGTGGATGCCTATTCGCCCACAGTCTGCCAATATTATCCTGTGGATAGGGTAGAAAAAGAGCTGGTCCAAACGCAATGTTTTTAACAAGGTAAAGCAGCAGGTGCAGAATGAGTTGGCTAAGCGGAATAGGAGCAATACATCATCTCCAGCCTGCTGATAATTTTAAGCATAATTTCAGGCTGAGCGGCTGGTTGCGGGTAAGATCAAGCACAAAATCAGATAGGGGATGCATGACGAGTTGACCGCGCAGCAGCAGATTGCCACAACTGGCATGAATATAATCCCGGCGGTAGAAAAACCTCACCAAATTTTATGACACGGCTTGCGCCAGTGCACAATGGAAGGCTGCCTGCAGACCTTCAGGGCTGACGAACCCGGGTTGAGGATGGCAAAAAGTGCCAACAGGCAGACGGAAGTGGAATCGTGACATGGCTTCGGTATTAAAATTTTGCATTATCTTCAATACCCTGCTTACTGGCAAACGCCCTTCTCATTTTTGCGCAAAAATTCATTGTCAGAGTCGGCTGAACTTGAGTTTACAGCCATGCCTAAAACTTTGCCCAAGTCAAAGCCCAAGCCCAAGTGCGTGTGAATTAATCCGTCTGTCCAAGCTTCTCATAAAAAGCAGCGCAGTGGTTAATAGCTTCAACCGTAGTGGGCTACTGTCTCTAGTTTCTAAGAATTTCCGGGTGCTATGCAATTTTGATGGAAAAGATGTCTATTTGCAGGATATTTAATTTTTTTTGGATATTTGTAGTCTTTTTCAGTGCATTAATCGTCTCCTCAGCCAAATCAGCTAGTATATTGTAAAAGTGCGCCCGTTTACCAACACCGCAAACATACTAACTAAAATATTTATACAATTTGACATTTGTCAAAGTTATAATGATTTAACCCCGTTGTGAGCTGCGCTCAGATTGTGCTGCTGTAACTACGGCCTTTAAAAAGATATCGGCATTTAGAGATTCGATGTGGCCTGCTGCTTGTCCTCAAAGAAATTACGCCAGTCGTCAAGTTATCTAGCATCCTAATGGCGCTCACCCGCAGCCGAAGACCGGCTAGAAAAACCACGCGCAAGACCACCACCTGTATACGCTGTATTTTCAGAAAACATGGGATGGTCGTTGTGCACAGTATTTTTAAAATCAATAACATTGCTGGTGCACATGTAATCGTCCGTGCGTAGAATAAGCCGTCATCCTTGTTTCTGTCCGTGGTTGCCTGCAGCAGCGACTCATGGCCATTGTTTGCAATAGCGTCTGAATCTACATTGTACTTTTTTGCAGACCGTCCTTGCGCAGCTTGTTGATCCAGTGAGTGAGATAGCGCTGTCGATTGAACATGCAGTTGTACATGGGTACTGCCATGATGAGCCACCACAACAAATGCGTTCCAAAGTGGTCAATGCTTGTAGCCAGGATGCGTATATTCCGGTTCATAGGGTAGTCGGGTATTTAAAGTTGATGACTATCGAGAATACAAAGAAGGCAAAAATAATGAAACCATTGGTAATCATCTCGCGGCTTTCATTGAACGAGCTCTTGATATTGCGAATCTTCCAGTGAACGCCATTAAAAGAAACCAAGTTATACCCAAAAGCACAAACAGCGATGTCTTGAACCCATTGTCCAAACTGCAGAATCGTAAGACGGGATGTAGAAAGTTGTCTTTTCAGACTTAAGACCTGTGCAATAATTCCGTAGCCAATAAAATCAGGCAATATATGGCAACCGGCAGATACAGTCCCAGACTGTGGTACGGAAGGTTTAAATAAAACACGCGGTATAATCCATACGCCCTCAATGCAGTCAGTGCGCACACGCTGCACACGCCCAGCAGGATCCGCATCCACAACCCAAACGCCTTGCAGTTAGTCAATGGCGTATTTGCCAATGGCACATGCCCATTAGACTGAAGGTCGCCGACAAACCATGTCATGGAGATTAACATGAGAATTGTCATGAGAATCGGATTTTTGGACTTGATCGGTGGGTACTTTTTGTTCCACAGCATGTATGCCAATACAAAAAAGTCAAAACAGTATATGACCGAAAAAAATATCAGCATGATCATGTCTGGCTTGCCACGCGGGTCCACCGTTACATTCACAGACTTGCCATACTCCACACGATTTAGTCGCTCTCAGTCAGCGAAAATGAAAGCTGATTGCCCATGTTTTAAAAAATTAATAAAAAGGTCGTATTTATGTTGTAAGATAAAAATATCGAGTAATATAAATATGCCTGTGAAATATTAAAAAAATAGTAATATAATTATTAACAATTACAACAAAAATGGGCGTGGAAAAAAATGGAACTATCCATCGCATTAAGAAAACTTTTCATGTTTTATATCCTAGAGCACAAATAAAAATTACACGCCTGAAGGGAAAACTTTGGAAAACAATAATTGTGTGCTCACCCAAATTTACGTGGTTGTGCGCAAAAGGTAACATTATTTTGCCTCATCTATTTTGTCCACTTTTATTTTGTTTTCCTTGTAATCAAAACGCATAACTGCGACAATCACCTGATCCAGTTGCATTGTTTTCCAACCCCAGATTCTAGAAATAAAATTTGGGGGACAAGGGGGGCGATTTGCGAGGGGGGACGTGGAAATATATTTCAAAGCGAAAATTCGCTTATTTTACACGGCTGCGTTCTGCATTTTGGGGATAAGCAGCCTTGTATTCCAAAAAAAGTAAAATATTTTGCAGACCAAATATGCAATGGGAATTCTTTTCTGTCTCAATTAAGCAAAGCCAATTTTATTAATGCGAATCAAATACACTTTATATTTATCTTTTTAAGTGGCAGTTTTCTGGGTAAATCTTTTTTTCGTGTATGACAAACAAAATGTTTACGTTTTTGAACGATCTTTCTAATTTGGCCGTCAAAAAAGAAAATGGATTTGCTTTGAATAGACAAAATGGCAATGATCGTCATGTGCGCGGTTGGTAACCAAGTCATGAGAAAAATCACATGTTTTTTGGCGCGACTCGGCAATTTATTTTAATCTACTTTTATGCCAAATATTCAGCAAATAATAAAATTAATTTGGGGACAAAGGTAGGCATAAATAGAAATATTTTGCGTATTGTTTTGTTTGCATGTCGACTATATTAATACATATTTTAATATCTGGTAAACTGTAGATAGCTAAATGATGTTTGATCTAAATGCATTGTCCCTGTTTCCATACATGTTGCTATTGGGAGGCTGATAAAAGCTGGTTTAGGTCGTACGAGGATTCTGCACCATTGTCCCTGTAAATGACATTTTCCATTGGGTAAAACGCGCCTCCTTTGCCGCCAGAAGTGTTTGCTAAAAAAAGCGACCCAGTGTTGTTGGTAGTGGCCGTGTTTGCGCTGACGTCGTACTCATTTTGCAAACCATCCTTGCGCAGTGTATTTATCCATCTGTCTAGGTAGCCCTGCCGGTTAAACATACAGTTGTACATCGGTACTGCCATTATGAGCCACCACAGCATATGTGTTCCGATATGATTCAGGGATGTGGCTAGCAACGCAAGTCTTTGTTCAGAGGATACTGCGGGCGCACATAGTTGAGGGTTGTGACAAATATGAGGTTAGCAAATATTATAAAGCAAATAATCAGCATTTCACGGCTCTCGTTAAATGAACTCTTGATGTTGCGAATCATCCACTGAACGATTACCATGATGAGCAGGTGAGCCACAGAAACACAAACAACGACGCCTTGAAAGATGGGTGAACGTTGCAAATATCGAGTGGCACAATGTACTGCATTGTTATTTCGGGTTTGAGGACCTGCGCGACAATTCCGTAGACAAGCATGCATACGCAATACAAAAGAACGGCAGATACAGCCCAAGACTGTGGTATGGGAGGTATAAATAAAAAACGCGGTACAGGCCATACGCTCTCAACGTAACCAAGGCGCAAAGAGTGCAGATACCCATTAGAATGCGCATCCAGAGCCCGAAAGGCTTGCAGTTGGTCATTGGCGTGTTTGCCAAAGGCACGTGCCCGTTAGTCTGAAGGTCGCCGACAAACCATATGGCACATATTGCTATCATCACAGTCATGAGTATCGGATTTTTGGCCTTGATTGGCGGATAGTTTTTGTTGCGCAGCATATACACGACTGCCAGAAAACTGAAACAGTAAATGATTGAGAAAAATATTATCATGATCATGTCTCCTTTGCCACGCGGGTCCACTGTTACAAAATTGGACTTGCCAGCCTCCACCCGCATCAGCTCGCTCTCAGTGACAGAAAAAGACAGCTGGTTACCCATCTTTAAACAAGATTAAAATAATAAGTGTAGGTCGTAAGATTGAAATATCAAGAATGTTTGTGGAGATTGAAGCAAAAGTAAAATTTTGAGATATTACAAATATAATAAAAAAGAGCAATAGGTTATAAAACGTAAAAAAGGTTAATATGGCAAAGGCTTCGGTTTATTGAATAGGGAATGTGCTGTGTTTTATGCCTTGTCAGATATTTGAAACAATTTAATATTATTCATCTTGGGGATTTTTTACATACAATAGCGTTACATTTGGTGTCAGAATTCGTTAAGCATGATATCCAATTTTTTGAAATCAAGTATATGATCGACATTGCTGCTCCCACACACCAACTTCGTTTCTCAACAGAAAGTTCAGTAAAAATAAATAAAAAACAAACGATTGGCACATGATGTACAAACATGGGGAAGTTCTGCAAAAACGTGTTGCAATATAACTACAATTAATGTTTCGAAAATCTGCATAGTTTGTTTCGATTAATGCATCATTTAAGTTTTACAAAAGAAATGAATAAAGGTTTTCGAAGAAACTGAGTGTACCAAAAATAAAATTATAGAGGCTTGTAAAAAATAGTATGGTGCGATAAGAACCAAATGTGGAAAAGTGATAATCCTCAATCAGAATAAAATGGAAAATCAATTTCTTTGATGCTTATCCTAACCCCATTGACTGGTATTTCTACTCAGTTCAATACACTTGCAATCCAGACCTCCTCTGTTTTAAGCTGCCAGACTCCGGTAGTTTATTTTGAAAAAGGAACTCAAAATAACTATTTTAATTTGGTTTGAAAGAAACCACTACAAATAAACGTAGGGCAATGGTTGTTGACTGTTGACTGCTAACTACTAACTGTTGATGCAAATATATGCAAAGTATAAATTAAGCGGGCATTTTACTTTGTATAACCGGAATCACCCATTCAGCTGGATCACGGGGATTAAAGAACCGCGCTGATATTTATAGCTTGTCTTATAAATGCAAATTCCGACTAGTTCAACAGATTTGCGCTCCAGATAAAACATCACTTTGCAATAATTACGCAATCAAAATTATTCTGATTGTCCACATATAGTGTAGCAAATTTAGATAAGACGTTTGTCTGCCGTATTTATAAACTTATCTACCGCACGCACGCCAAACTTTTAATGGACAACATCAACCACACAGCTGAGCCATGTTTAGTCGCTAAAACCTCAGTAATGAGTCGCATCGTACAGGACTTTCATTGCTCTATCTCACATCTCATGGCCGTCCGCACATTCAAGAATCGCTGGCATGGTGCGTGCCAGTGGTTCCAGTTTGATTCAGGTGAAGAAGAGCTTACCAGAACGCTTAAATTTGCAACGCTCTAATACAGGACAGCCGCCTCAACTACCATGCGCAACGCACTCCCCCAACCTCGGACAGCAGCACCAATGCCCCCCTCAATGGCTACACAAGCAGCTCTGCTACCCAATGCAAGGGGATTATTGTAAATAACAACCCATGTAGCTTTTGATTTTTTATTATTTTTGTAATGAGTCGCACTAAGTCACTGTGCCAAAAAAGCACTATCTGTAAACTTGAAAAAATATGGTGTGCACATGATTCCAATAGCCTAAAAATACGGTTTTGTTTATAATGGTTTTATTACCATGACTAAAAGTTCACGGTTTTTTCGCCCCGTGTGAATTGTTTTTTGTATTCAGACATTTTTATATTTATTAACGTGATTTAGAAGTAGAAGCATGTTCCACACCCACGTGCATTCCTAGCTCGTCTCCTCTTTCTTCTGTGCAACTTTGTGATTTTGAGTTTTACTACTTACAATTCTTAAAAATGACTTTGCCTAAAAATAATGCAAATATCGAATATCGTTATTTGATAAGATGTCATTATTTAGAGGGAAAGAAGCGGTTGGTATTAATTAACTTATACACCGGCATTACGGCACAGGCGCACCTTCTATACAAACGGTTAGAAGGTGGGTTAACAGTTTTAGGCGTGGACGCATAGATATTGAAGATGGGCCCGAAGCGGCCGTCCGAAACTCAAAATTGCACAACTTCATGGCGCCGCTATTCATAAGACAATCGACCAATTTCCACATACAAGAGCTGAGAATTTAGCTGAACAGTACGATTGTTTGGTGACACCAATGCGAAATGTCTTGTGTTATGATCTGAGCTATAAATGTTCACCAGTTATTGGTCCCTCATTCCCTCGCTGATGGGCTTAAGGCAAAGCGCATTGAGTTTTGCTAACAGTTTATCGAGGACTTACCGGCTTGTCCAGAACAAATATATATAACATTGTTACATGCAACGAATCGTATGTCTAATTGAACACGCCATTTTATGGCTTGGCAGCCAAGGCATATGTCATCGGAGATCAGATGCTACCCGCCCAGGTTCGTTCGCACTTTGGTCAAGACAAACTTATTGCTCTTATCTTCTTCAAAACTGGTATTGTCCACGCTAACCTTAACATCAAACTGCGCACTGTCGATAGTGAATACTTTCTCAAGAATGGCATCGATCCCATGGTTTCCAAGTGGAAAAATGCACAAGAACGCCAACCCCAGCAGAATCGTGTTTCGCCAGAACAATGCACCACCTCACAAATCAAAGCATATGTTGGACCACATTTCACAGACTGGGATGAAATAACTTGAAGCACAACCCGTACTCCCCGGATCTAACACCTTGTGCCTTTTGGCCTTTTCCGCATATCAAGAACAAGCTCAGAGGTTGTGATTTAAAGGACATTCACGTGGTGAAAAATGCATGGGAGTCTGAACTCGATTCCCTGACACGCAATGCCTTCGGGGTTTGTTTCAGGCAATGGTTTGAAAGGTGTCAGGGTGTAGTTGAACAAGGAGGTGATTGTTTTATAAAAGATAGAATTCAGTAGTTTTATACGAAAACACACGAACTTTAAGTAACCATGATACATAAATGGGTGCCGTGCCTATCTTGCTAATCCTTTTTGGCATTTTCGTCCAACATTCGAAATATTGTTTCCGGATGGACATGGTGAATAGGATTTTCATTTCGAGTATCATTCGTTTTAATTAGGTAAAAATTGTTTAATAAGAAATCAATTAGATTATGCAGAATAGCGCCATATGTCATTCATTGCTCTGCCCAAACAAATTTCTGCTAATTCCAAAACTACGGCTGTTAAGAATTCATGGGGTAGTCCAGATTTGACTTGTATGAAGAATCAGCGTCCTTGTATCCGTAAATGCTATCTTGGACCGGGTAAAATTGCTCATCGGTTTTGCCCAGAACAGTGTTTGTCAGCAAAAGCGACTCTCGGCCATTCGTAACAAATGTGTCTGGGTCGAATTCGTACATTCTCTGCAATCCGTCCTTGCGCAGCTTGTTGATCCAGTTTTCGAGGTAGCGTTGCCGATTGAACAACAGTTGGCCAAGGGAACTGCCATAATAAGCCACCACAACAAATGCGTTCCGATGTGGTCAATGGAAGTGGTTAATAGCGCAGGTAAACGTTTACGGGATACTGTGGGCGCACGTAGTTCAGGACGATTGCATATATAATGCAAGCAAATATGATTACACAATTGGTTAACATTTCACGACTCTCGTTAAATGAGCTTTTAATGCTGCGTATCTTCCAATGAATAAACACCAAGATTAACCAGGTCAATGCAAGCAACGTAAAAAGAATTGCCTTGTACAAAGTGTGTAGGTTGCAGAGGTCGAGTGCCGCAATATACATAGTCGTTATTTCGGGCTTGAGCACCTGAAAGACAATGCCAAAATAATTAGGCAAAGAAAGTAAATGCAAAGGAAGATAAAGTCCCAGCTATGGTACGGCAAATTCAGGAAAAACACGCGATACAATCCATATGCCCTCAATGTTGTCAAGGCGCACAAGCTGCACACGCCAAGCAAAATTCGCATCCAGAGCCCAAAAGCCTTGCAGTTAGTCATTGGAGTACCTGCCAAAGGCACGTGCCCATTAGCCTGGAGATCACCAACAAACCAAATTATAGATATCGCCATCATCATGGCCATGATTATCGGACTCTTGGACTTGATCGGTGGGTACTTTCTGTTCCACAGCATATAGACTACTGCCAGAACGTCAAGGCAGTACGCGGACGCAATAATAATTACATGGTCATGTCTGCCTGGCCTCGCGGGTCCACTGTTCCTAGCCAGCTTGCTAGAAATTACACGGTTCAGCTCGCTCTCGGTGACAGAAAAGGAGAGCTGATTTCCATTATACAAAAAGGTAATAAATTGGTCAGCCGTCAGTGGGCGGTCAGATTAATATACAAAAAAAATAAAAAAAAATCGAGATAATAACATAAAAATTAAACAGGCGAGCGATACAACGTATATATGTGGCACGTTTCAAAAGGGGGAGTTTTATTCTGTCAGTTGCTTTTGAAAACAATTCAGACAGCATGGCCATCATTTGTTTTGAAAAATTCAGTCGAATGCAAGCAATATCTGAAATCTTTGTGGCTGGGATTGTCGCAATGTCATATTTTCCTTCAAAAAACCACCATATGCAGGTGTGTTGAAATGGAAGTGGTATAAAAACTTGGATAATAAACATAAATTTTCGTCCGCATTTTTTTGCTAATTTTACAGGAAGCAACCTGTTTGTAGTGGTTTAAAGTGCACACTATGCATACAAGCGAATAAACAAAATTGAAAATAATGATCCGTAGAAAATGATCAAATTTATTATTTTAAATAGTGATAAGCGAAAATGGTGGATTGATTCGCATTGATATTCAAACAACAAGAATTTTCCTTTATACGTCACCCTTTGTAATGACATGTGCATTTTCAGGACTGACCACATACAGTTTGGCAACTAAAAAATTTGGTTTGTGGTTTTTTTTAAATTTAGATTAGCAGGTTGTTCGGATTATTTACATGTGTCGAACCTTTAAATATTTTGTATGGCTTGTATTTTTGGCGTATACATTTGTTTCAATTGATTTTGATGCACACCAAACATTGGCTTGGCCAAACTTTAGGTTGTTTTAAGTATTGACAGCAAAGGAATCAACATTGTTTGTTTTTGTTTTAACCACGTGGAGATCATATAGAAGGGACGAGATAAAAGACGCCGTCCTATGTTCTCCTCGTAGAGAACTAATACTCTAAATTCTCCAACTACTTGTAACATATATCATGCATAAAAAGCTATGCACCTTGGTAACATATTATCAGTATAGCTTTGCATATGATAATACGCAAATAGGACACTATTATAAATACGTTCATAATTTCACAGCCCAAGTAAATATAAACCAAATTAAATAGCTAAAGGCACTTGGGGGTGTGACTAAACATCTGTTCTGTTGTTGTCAGACTGCTGTTGTCGCATTGCATGATGCATGTGTAGAAAAAACTTGCATGGTTAGGGCTATCATACTGCAGCATAAGAATTCGTTTATATTTGTGACAACTGATTTTTTATTTTAATTTTCTACATGCAAAAAAACGGATATGACAAGGTCGCGTGGTCTACGCGCCAATATGTCATTGATAATTAATAACTTATTACGTGCTCTTTTTCAACAGTGGCCGTAGGTCGCGTTGGTGGCTTGGGCTATTGCCGACATCCGACGTGCTCCCATTGGCACTTGATGCCCAATTGCCATTATCAGAATCGCCTGGATGATAGTTGGACCACGAGTTAGACCTAATTCCTTGTTCGGAACCACCCTGCAGATCAGACACCGAGCGTGTGTGGCTAGTCTGTGACAAATAATTATTGCGAGCATTCATGCGACGGCGGTTATATTTCCTACCAGAACGGCCATGCCTTGATCCCAGTGTCTTCGACACCAGTTCTTGCTGCCTGGTTAGCATTGGCTGGATATAATGGCGGTCAATATCGTATATCATCGAGCGATCGAACGACCTGTAGCTGTTCTTGATGCGCGCAATCCAGGATTCGCCGGTCTCGGCCCAGGACGACGAAAATCGGCTGAATGCTTGTGGGAGATGGTGCATGGCAATTGGTTCAGCAGACTCGCCATTCAGATCTTCAGCCGCCACATCCAGAATCTGGCTGTCAAGCGGGAGGGCAGCGATTGGTGGCGTCGGGCCAAAGCTGGGACTGGGCGAAGAGTCGCGGAATTGGCGCGGCGCAAGGTTGATTATGCCGCGGTTTCCCGCCTGCCACTGGGACTGCCAATTTTCCTCGTCATCATCTCCTTCGTCGTCCTCATCGTAGTCTGCGCCGCGAGCATCGAGATCATCGTCCTCATCAGAAGAGTCTGGCTGCGGAACGCCGGTCCTGATTCCAAGCAGCTGGACAACCTGGGGTGTTGTGCCGCCAAATATCGTCACGCTGAGAACACCACGCACAAACAGTGGTGCGCAACAATGGGCCGTTTTTGCCTGAAACCTCGCTGGCCAGCGCAACAGCCACGGCACCACGCAATCCGCCCAAAACAGCATGGTCTGCTCCTCGTGCGTAACAGGTTGGGCCGACGAGGGCGCTGACGGATGGCGATACTTGAATATAGCGTTGAGCACACGTGACAGCGGGAAAATAGCCGAGTAGCGCGAGATGCAGGTGGCAATCATCACAAACACAATAAACACGGGGCGGAAGAGCACATCGGAAGCAGTAAACAGTGAAATGCCCAGGTATATGAAGACAAAGTTCTCAGCTAGACCGGACAGCAGGTGGAAGAGATAGCGGGTTGCCCGCTTGCTCTTTGTGGACAGCGATCGGTAGGCGTAGTGGCGCATGGTCGCAGCGCAGAACAGTAGCGAGACAATGCCCGAGAGCTCGATGGCGTTGGAAAACAAGTATGACTGGTACGCCAGCAGAAGCACCAAGGATGCCTCGATGGACGGGTACTCGTACAGACGCGTGTACTTGCACAGCAGCGACATAAACACGCCCATTGCCATTCCGACCAGTAGCGAAGCGGTAAAAACAAACATGAACGACGAGAGCATGCCCGGAATAGCGCCCATGGTAAAGTCTTGTCCGGCTGAGCGCAGGTTGCCCAGTGTGACAAAAAGTACAATTGCCACAGCGTCGTTGAAGACCGTTTCGCCAAAAATGATGGAAAACAGCTTCGGATCCACGCGCAGCTGCTCGAAGACAGCCAGGATTGTGACTGGATCTGTGGCCGACAGAATAGTGCCAAGCATCAGCGAGTCGAGCAGAGAAAACTCAATATTCTCTATGCCTGTGAACGAGTAGATCTGTACCAGAATGCCAATGACCACTGCGCTCACAACGGTGCCGACAAATGCAAATGTCAGCACGGGCGCCATGTTTCGCGTTATAGAAGTCTTTTGCAGGTTGTAGCCGCAGTTGAGGATGATGGGTGGCAGAAGCATGTTGAAAAAAACGGTGTGGTCAAAGGTGACCATGCGCTTGATGTACTCTCCCGTGCTGAACCTCAGAATGAGCCCGACAAACATGCCGGCAAATATGGACAGCACTGTTTCATGAACGACGCGGATTTTCCAACGCTGCAGGTAGTAAGATGTGAGGAGTGCGGCTATTAGAGGCTGACCAGGATAAGCAGCGCCTGAGAGGAAGCGCGTTCCTCGTCCTCTGGCAGCGGCTCTGAAGAGTCGTCAGGGGGACCAGGGATTAGCGTCGATGTCGTGTCTGTGAATGAGCTGAGTATAGAGGTAGTTGCGGTCGAAATAAGGGTGGTGACGGAGGTGGACAGGAGCGTCGACAGTTGTTGTGCGCTGTCACCGCTTGTGCTGGCAGTAGCGGCTATACTGCTGTGATCCATGGATACTGTGGGGGTTTAAATAATATTCCTGCTGTCTATGCCCAATGCTGTGAGGTGAATCCAAGTAACAAATGAATACGACCACAATTGACAAGTAAAGAAAAGATAGAAAAAAGAATATTTATTTACAAAAAATGATAAAGCTCAAAAAGAAAAGAAATAGAAAAAGAGCATTAACTGTCGGACACACCAAAACACGAAGGAAAAAAGAAAGAAAAAAGTAGAAAGGGCGCACGCGGCATTCAAATATAAATGCCGCAAATATAAGCTGGTGATGGAGGGCGATGGTGTTGTATCGTCATCATCATTAGGGGGAGAGGATGGTGACTGGCATGGATGAAGGCAGTAGCGAAATCAAAAGGCAAAGACTCTGGAGGACCTGGAAGGTCCAAAAACAGACGCAGGCAAGCAGGCCCAAAACAACTCTGTAGACGGCCAGCACCCAGTCCAGCGTTGACCAGATCTTGCGCACAGGGCGGACATTGACGGCATGGTCTTGGCCACCAGCAATGATAGCTGAAGCAGCAGCCTCGGAGTCAGACTGTGAGTGGTCAATGGACCTGTCGCTCTTGGAAGATGACGGTACCAATGGTAACGATAATGCAGTGTCCGAATCAGGTTTCGAAATAGATGCAAGGAGATGGTCAGCATGCTGCGGCACCGAGACAGGTCGCCTTTGCAAGGGAACAAGGGTCAGTTTGCTGCCAATGCCAGAATGAGCAGTGTCGACTGTGCGTTCGGATGGCAATAGTTCCGCGGCATCCTTGATGCAAGCACCAGCAGCAGCAGAATCAGTGCACTCAAACAGATGCGGCCATAGCTCAGGGCGCAAGCGCTGAAGGGCCGGAGAGTGCTGGGCAGTGGCGGCCTCCCAAAATCCAGGGACGAATATCGACGGAACCATGCTGTAAATGCCGTTCTCCAGCACCAGCAACATGTTGGACTTTGCCAATTGCTGCGACTGTTGCTGCGACTGCTGTTGCTGACCAAAGCCGATGACCAGAGGGATGGCGCGCGAGACAACGTACGCCACGCTGCTGGACAGACCAGTGGCAGCAAGTGAGGCGTGGCGCCAGATCGGGCGCAGGGCCTCGACCCAACCATAGAGACCGCAGAAAGGCATCTCTGCCCAGCAATGCTTACTTGCAAAGAAATGGCAGCCAGCGCAGGCCGATTGCTGTGCCGCGAAGGCGCAGAGAGACAGTGTGGACAGCAGCATGGGCTGCGCGCCCAGCCAGCATCCATATGCGATTCAGGAGAGCGGCGGCGACAGAGTAGAAGAATGCCGCAACGGAGCGGGCGCCATGCATGATGGTCTCGAGCAGCGATGTGAGCCAGCGCTTGGAGCGCTGTGCCTGAGCATCACCAGGCAATCTTATGGTCTGGCTCTGGTTCAGATCTTGACTTTGGTAGACAGGGCGCAGCACAAGCGGAGTGCCGTCGTCGGCCTGTGGCAGCCACGTGTTTGCAGCTCCAGGCGGCGGAGCATGGCGTACCACTCAGAGTACGCAGGCGACAGGGCAAACGTGGACAGCGACACGGGCAGAGCCGGCGCATGGGGCGTGTAGCCCAGCTGCAGATCAACAGTGGCAGGCGAAACGGGCACAATGAGGTCCGGCCACAGCCACCACACGGCATACCCCAGCGAGATGTGCGCGTGCGACGACACACGGCGCGCCAGCCGCAGCGCCACGCGTACAAGAGGCGCGGCAGCGAGTCGGCTTCGAGCGATTGCAGCAGGATGCGGCGGGAAACAATGCGCTCGACAGCCAAGGCCGGCAAATCGGCGTCCGTAAGAGTTGTGTTTGCTGCGGTGAAAGAGTCGGACGAGAGTCGGAACCGTACTCCGCGGCCGTGCTTTGAAAGACGAGGAAGACGCAGGCGTGGCTGCCACCTCGCTCTTGAAGTGACTCGCAGCGCACATGCTGGCGGCCGGCTGTGCCAACAGCTGCTGCTGGATTTGAATCTGGGGGTGGACGTCGAGATCCAGCGGCTGGACGACAATTGGCTCCATATCAAGCTCGCGGCGGCCGAGGTCCAGCATCGGCTCGAGGCTAGGCGCGGCCCACAGCGGCTCGACAAGCGATGCAACTGGAAGCACGTACGCGCGCTCGGAGATGAGCCCAGCGGTGCGCAGGACGCTGGGCCACGTCATGGCCAGGCTGCAGACGATCCACACGTACGCTAGCAGCAGCGTCGGAGACACGGGGCGCGCGTGGCGGTCAAGAAGCAGGAAGACGCGGCGGCCCCACATGCGTGCCTTCAGCGCGCGCTCAGGCTGGATGCCGCCGGGCAGCAGCAGCGTGTGGGCAGCCGGCGACGCTGCTGCCTGGCGCTGCAGGTGGCGGTAGAAGCTGGCGAGGTCAGCGCCCGACGAGAAGAACAGCCGCGACACGTGCGGGCTGGGAGCCGGGTCGGGCAGTGACGGGTCGGGCAGCACCAAATTGGGCACGATGGGTCGATGGCAGCCAGCACGGTGGGGTGCAGCAGCAGGCGCGGCAGGCAGTCCCACTGGCGCGCGCGCAGCAGCACGGCGGCATACGACGACGCGAGGAAGCGCAGCGGGTGCACCGAGTCCTCGACCGACGCGCCCATCGACAGCAGCCCGAACATGACGACGACAAACAGCAGCGCGGCCGACAGCAGCTGGCACGCCGTGGCCAGCATGTGCGGCACGAGCGGCGGCGCGGTCTCCAGTGGCATCTCGGCGGCCGCGCCCTCCTCGCGCGCCTGGAAGTACTCAAAGGCGTGCGTCAGGTCGGGCGCGCCGACGAATATGGCGCTCAGCGCGCCACGGCCAACCTGCACCACCACCAGCAGCCAGCACAGCGCCGTGGTGGCCACTAGCACGGCGGCCGACACGCTGCCGACGAGGCTGACGGCAGCGCCAGCGCCAGATCCAGACCCGGACCCAGATCCGGACCCGTCCGCCGGCACCTTCAGCAGCCCGCTGCGCTCGGTGCGCGCCATCTCGCCGCGCACAAACAGCAGCTGCGCGTGGTACTTTCGGATCTGCCGCGACAGCCGCTGCATCTCGCGCTCGCGCTCGCGCTCGCGTCGCCGCAGCGACTGGGCCGCTGTGCCAAAGTCGTCGTCGCTGGACGCGGGCTCGTCGCTAGGCGCGTCCGGCTCGGGCATGGTGGCCAGCGACCGCGAGCCGCGCAGCGTGAGCGACGCCGTGCGGCTGTGCGCCGGAGCTGCAAACCGGGCCGATCCGCGGAGCAGCGGCGACGGCGGCGGCAGCGCCACCGGCGGCAGGCTCAGCGCCGACGCGCCGCGCGGCCGGCTGCCAGCCACGCGGCCGCGGCCCCCAAGCGCAAAGTTGGAGTTGCGCGGCCGCACACCAAGCGGCTCCGGTTCTAGTTCCAGCTCCGGCTCGCTGAGGCTGTCCCGGCGGCCTGCGCCCCGCCGCGCCACGAGCCAATGGCCTGCTCGAGCCGCAACTCAATTCGCGCTCGCTCGAGCCGCAGCCGGCGGTAGCGCGCCTGCGCAACGCGTGCCTCGTCGCGGCGGCGGCCGACGCAGCCGTGCAGCCACGCAAACAGCGCCCATGTGCCGCGCGGCACCAGCGCAAGCACAGCCGGCAGCGCACCGCACACGCAGCCGGCGTGGTGCACGGCATAGCGCAGCGTGGCCCCGCGCCCGCCACGCCCGCCAATGATCGCGCGCCACGCACCTAGCAGCAGCGCGGCGCCGAGGCCCCAGCGCAGCAGCGCAATGCGCAGCCGCCGGAGCGTGGGCGCGCGGCGCGGCGTGCCTTCAAACAGCACGCCCATAGGCACGACGAACGCCGCCGTGCCGACGCTGGCGACCGACTGGTACTGCCACAGCCGCCGCAGCACCGGAGGAAAGTCCGAGCTGGCGCCGGCGTCGGCCCACGATCCGGATCCGGATCCGGATCCGCCCGGGCCTAGCAGCGTCGCCGGCAGCAGCCACAGGCGCCACAATGGCGCTGTGCGCGGCAGGTGGTCCATCGCGTTGGCCAGTGCAACCGTCGCAGCGACCAGCACGCCCGTCAGCAGCGCCGCTGCCAGCCCGGCCGCCGCCACAACCAGCGCAACCTGCCGCGCGCGGAACGCCGACGCGTACGGCGCAACCAAAAAGCGGCGCCGTGCCTCCTGCTTCGGGTGCGGCTGCGGCTGCGGCTGCGGCTTGGTCGCCCGCGCCACAGCCACGTACGATCCCACAAACAGGACCAGGTACGCAGCGCAGCATACGATGTGTTCGCGGGTGACCACGCAGAATTGCAGAAACTCAGGCGTCATGATGTTGCGGTGGTCGCTCTCGACCTCATTGCTGCGCTTCATGTCGGCCAGAAACGCCGCCGCATTGGCTGTATGCTCATTTGCACGTGCGAGTGCGACTGTGGCTGTGACTGCAAGCGTAGAGAGGAATAAAAGTAAGTCAGCCATTCTCGCATTGTCTTTAATGATGAATTTGCAGCTGTAATTGCGCCCAGGGAAAAGAAGAGAGTAAATAACCAGAGTAGAGTGGGAAAACCCAAATAGGCTGTCCAAAAGCAAAGTATAACAAAGTTAAATGTAAACACAACCTGGAGAGAAAAGAGTGGAAAAATGTTTGGCGAAACGACTTTCGCTTTCGTCCGTCGAAACTCGAAAAATGCGCGAAAGTGCACAGAAATGCGACAAAAATGCATCCTGCACAAATGGCCAATGGGAACTGAGAGCTGAGAATGCCCGCACGTGATACTGATAAAGGAGAATGCTGCAAAAGCCAGTCTGCGCGAAGCGCTACGCCGTCGTCGCTGTCGACAGAAGCAGTGGCGATGCCTCTGACGCTGGCGCTGGCGCTGGTTCTGATACTGGCGCTGATGCTGATGCTGATGCTGGTGCTGGCGTTGATGCTGATGCTGATTCTGGCGCTGGCGCTGGTCCCAATTCCGCTGCAGCCCTCGCCTGCGCAGCCTCCTTGCGCTCGAACATTAGGCAAATGGCCAGCAGCACACCCTGCAGCACGGCAGCGACGAACGTCGAGATCCAGCTCGACCAGTTGACGCCCGGGCGGATGGCAATAGAGTACGCAAACACAAAGCCGCCTGGCGTCTGCATCATCATCATCGGGATGCTCAGCGCGCCGACAGCCTGCGCGCGCCACGTCTTGATGATCTGCGGGAAGAACTGCAGGCACGTCAGGCACAGGCTGAACAGCCCTAGCAGGCTGGCCCACGTGCGCGTCGGCCCAGCGTACGGCCCCACAGCCACCACCAGCAGCCCACTCATTGCCAGGCACACTGCCGCGTGCGCGGTCACCGCCGCCGCCACCCACAGCGCCGTCCGCCACTCAACTGACTTTGGCCGCTTGCTGGCAGCCTGTCGCAGCAGCGCCTGGCTCTCGGCCCCCTCGCCCTCGCCAACTGCCTCGTACTTGCTCTGCGCCGGGAAGAACCACATAAACAGCACGAACGTCACGTAGAACATCAGGCCCTGGATGCACACCTGCGCAATGCCCAGCAGGCTGGCCACGCACTGCCCCGCCGTCTGCACTGTGCAGCACTGCAGCACGATAAACTGCAGCAGGATGATGTTGGTAATGTTTGACCTGCACCCACTGTTCCCAGCAGAATGAAGTATGGGCTGAGCCCGTCGCTCGACCGCCGCTGCAGGATCTTGATGTGCTGCGGCAGGTACGACAGAAACGTCCCCACGCACAGCAGCGCCGTCAGCACCGTATTCTGCGACGACGGCACCTCCCCGCATATCGTCGGGTCAAACGCCATCATTTGTGTGTAAGCTTTTTATGGTCGGCTGTGAATTAGCTTGAGAAATATCAAAAATATAACAAAATAGGGACAAGAAAGTGTAAATTCTTTATATAATTTTTTTGATCAAAAGGAAAACAGAAGACAGAAAAAACACTGCTCAGCACTATATACAAACGTGCGCGCTCTACCCACACGCCTGACCAGTCTAGAAGGACGAAAAGCAGCCCACGCTCTGCCTGTTTATGCACACGTGCCAATCCAACCAATTTACTTCTCACCCGACACATCGTCGTCGCCAACAGTTGCGGGGCCATCGGCGTCAGCAACAGCGTCGTCTTCACCAGCAACAGCAGGCTCAGCCTTTCCAGCATCTTCAGCATCTTCGCTGGCAGCAGGGTCAGAGACCTCGACAGACTCGGAAACCACAGCCTCGGAGGCTAAAGTTGCATCGCTTACTGGAGCAGCCCGCACTGGACGCCGTGCCACTGCCGGCAACGGGGCTTTCTGGTCGTTGGCGCGGGTGTCGCCCCAGTTCTGGCCAACGTCGACCTGCCCGCCGTCGGTCTGACAGTGCCAGCACCCGCAGCACCCGCCGGCCTCGTCAATATTGCTCTGCCCGCTGTTAGTCTAGCAGCATCGGCAGTGCCCGCCGGCCTTGTCACCGTTGGTCTGCCTGCCGTTGGTCTAGCAACTGCCGGTCTCGGCGTTGTGCCACTTGCCGTGACGATCCCGATGCCAATGTCGGCGCCGGTCTGACGCGCAAAGCAGCACCTACCGTTGAAACAGGGCGTGTCGAGGTTGGACCTGCAGGCGCAGTCGCTGAACCTGTTGATGATGTAGGCCGGCACACCGGCACAGGGCGCGTGCCACTCGTAGCAGGGCCAGCGCCCGGCCCATTCACTAAAGCGCGCCTAGCTGCCGCTGCGTCGGATGCTGCCGTCCTCGCGGGTGCTGGCCCGCCGCCAACAGGTGCCCTCACCAATGGACGCCTGACTGAAGAGGCTGTGGTAGGAGAGGCAGGGGTGACAACCCTGGGCCTCGTAGGGCCAGAACCAGGCATTGAATCCAAAGCTGAAGCTGCTGCTCCAGCGGCAGCAGCAGGTCTGGCAGCCCGCGTCGATAATGCCCCTGCGACAGGGCGCGTCCGAAGAGTTGATACCGATACATCTGTCGGTGTCCGGGTGGAGACCGTGTCCGTAGTCGCCATACGCCTAGTGGTAGATCTCCCTGCTGTAAGCGGTACTGCTGCTGCTGCTGTTGCTACAGGCCTGGTTGCAGTCGTGCTCCTAGCCGATGATGATGTTGCTGACACTGCAGGCGCACGACGGACAGTTCCAACTGCTGGTGCAGCAGTGGTGCCGTTGGCCGAGGGTGCCCTGGCAACACTGCCAGCAGACGCGGTACGGGAGGTTGCTGGTGTCGTTCCAGCCGGCCTGGTGGGTGTTCTGGCAGCGGCTCCCGGAGCTCCTAGAGTCGATGACGTGGTCCTGGTCCGTGATGAAAGTGGCGTCGCTACTCCAATAGTCCCGCGCCGAGCCGCCGCCAAGGGAGAAACGGTGGATGGTGCATTGCCGCCGGCAGGCCCTGGTACAGATGTTTTGCGCATGCCCCTGGCCACTGTAGCCGATTCAGGAGTCGAGGTTGGCGCAGTGCGCGACTGGGGCGTGTTGGGAGGTTTGCCAACTGTGCTTGCCTTGGTTTCAACTGGGTCAGTAACTGCGGGCGCGGTCTCCTCAGTCTTCGGATCCTCCGTCGCTGTTCCAGCTGCCTCCTTGGTCTCCACTTCTTTGGTCGTCGTTTCAACTGCCTTCTCAATCTTCTCCTCATCCTTTGCTTCTTTGGTCGTTGTTTCAGCCACCTCCTCGGCCTTTGGATCCTCAGTCTCGGCCGCTTTGCTGTTGGATTCATCAACCGCTCTGATGAGCGCTCCTCCACATCTTTCGCCAGGGCGTCTACGTTACCAATGGACAGACCAGCCCCAATGTTCAGTGACTTGACCTCGCCTTCTGCGTCAGTTGCCGCTCTGCTATTCTCGCTAACATGATGGCGCAGCGGTACATGGGCAACTGCCGCAAGCGCCATGGGAACGCAATCTTCCAAGTCATTGCCAAGGAAGGGTGACTTCAAACGCCCAACCTTTTTCACTGCCGATCCCGAGCCTTGTCCGAGCTGACGGTCGGCCTGAAGGAAGGGCGACGATGCTAGCCGCTTGCCGAGCGGGGTCGCCTTATCAAGACCGGGCAGCTTGGCCTCGAGGGGACTAAGACCTCCTGACTCAAGCGCTGTGCCTGGGATGGGTCCACCGTTGGAGGTATCTGTTGGCGCTTCAACAGCTGGCTTTTCAGCGGTTTGATCCTCAGCAGCAAACTCTTTCTCGGTGCTATCCTTGACTGCCGGGGTCTCTGCAATTGGCTCCCCAGCTGCTGGTACATCGACATCGACATTCACATTGGTGACTAGCGCCTCGACAGCGGTCGCAATGGGAGCGGTATGTTCGGCAGGAGCAGCAACCTCCTTGGCGGAATCCTTGTTTTCAACCTCGGGCTCGACCTTAGTGGCAATGTTGACCTCTGGCTCGGCCTTGGGCTTGACTTCAACCTCAGGCTCAGTCGGTGCATCGACGACCAACGAGTCCTGCTGCTCTGTCAATATTGTCTCTTGAGCAACAGGTTTTTCGTCTGTCTTGGCCACCTCGACTGCCTCGGCCGGCTTGAATTCTTTGACTGTCTCCATCGGTTTAACTTCCTCGACTGTCTCAACAGTCTCAACAGCCTCAACAGTCCCATCAGCCTCAACTTCCTCGAACGGCTTGACTTCCTCGACTGCCTCGACCGGCCTGACTTCCTCGATTGCCTCGACCGGCTTGACTGCCTCGACAGCCTCGACCGGCTTAACAACCTCAATAGCCTCGACCTCCTCCACTGCCTCAACCGGCTTGACTTCCTCGACCGGCCTGGCCTCCTCGACCAGCTTGGTCACTGGCTGAGCTACAGTTGCAGCCACGGCCTCTTCCTCTAGCTTTTCCTCTGCGGCACAGTTCTCATTGATCAGCTCTGCAGAAAACACAATGGAAAGCGGGTCGTCTGAGGGCTGAAGAATCTTGAAATCGCCGCCAAGCAAACCATAGAACACGGCATCCGTTGACCTCTTAGCCTCCTGGTGATCCTTGCTAGCATGGACGGCATTCTTCTGGGCATCCAGGCCGTACTTTGCGCGCAAGCTATTACGGGCCTCGAACTTGGCTGTCTTGGGGTTGGTCGGGCCGACCAGGTTGCGCCAGGTGGCAATGGCGTCTGCGCCCTCGAGCACAAGCGCCAGCGAGTGGCCGCTGGTCACAAATTCAATGATCCGGTCATATACGGGGAAAGAGCTCATGTCACCGTAGATTTTCTCGGCCACATCAGTGGTCAACCGCACCTCCTCCTGGGCGACAATTGTGAATCCCTTCTCAATGATCTGCTTGATCAACTGCTTGCGGTACCGCGGGTACGCGTCGGGCTTGATGAGGGCAAACGTGCGCTCGTTAGACGGGTCGGAGGGCTTGAGAAGCTCGCTGGCCCCAGAGGCGGAGGCAGAGTCAGAGGATATCTGAGAATCAACAGGATCTTCGCTCTGTTCCCGGGAAACAGCAGGGGTGGCCTCGTCGTCGCTCTCATCGGACTGGACGGCCGTGGTGGTCGTCACAGAATTGTTGGCAGGAGAAATGACATCGACAGAAGTCACAGTCTGCTTGCGCTTGTTGCGGCGCTTCTGCTTCTTCTTCTTCTTCTTCTTGTCGTCGCCCTCGGCAGTAGCGACAGCCGTGTCCACCACGGGCTCGGGAGCCAGGTCTGCGACCGGCACAGAAGATGACTCTGCGACCGGCACAGAAGATGACTCTGCGACTGGTTCTTGCTCGGACTCTTCAACGACATCCTCCTCGGGCTGGATCGTGGGATAGAAGAAAAAACTCAGCTCGCGCTGTGCAGACTCGGCAGAATCGCTGCCGTGGACTGCGTTCCGTGGACCGTCGGCTCCCAGCACGGCGCGGATGGACTGCGGGGCCAGCTGGCGTGCGGCGGCAGGGCTGGTAGGGCCAATCATCGTGCGCCAGCCGCGAATGACGTCGTCTCCCTCGATCAGCAGCGCGACGAGGGGCCCACTGGACATAAAGGCAACCAGGCCGTCGAAAAAAGGCTTGCCGGCATGCTCAGCGTAGAAGGCGCGAGCCTGGGCGTTGGACAGCTTGATCTCCACGCGGTCCTTGATCAGGTACCCCCGTCCGGTGATTCGGCGGATGACGTGGGACACAGCCTTCTCGTCCTGCGCAATGTCGGGCTTGATCAAGGCCAGAGTGTTGAATACTGACTCGCCGCGCTGCATCAGAAAGTTGTCGTAGGGCAGCTCGGGCACCTTGTCTGAGAACACGAGGGCCAGCTGGTTGGCGGCGTCCTCGGGCTCCTGCGAGCCGTCGACGGCATTCCGGATGCGGTCGACAGCGAGGATGCCGCGGATACTGTCGCTGTCGCGGCCAGAGCCATCATTGGGGTCATCAGAGCCCATGGTCAGCTGCCAAAAGAGCGTGGCGTTGATCTTTGACAGTTCCAGCGCCATGCTCGGCGCGCTGGTAATGTAGTCTACCCAGTCCTGGTAGTCAGCGTCAGTGGCCTTTTCCGGGAACAGCGCATCAGCAACATCCTTTGACAGCCAGATGAGCTTCTGGCGCACAATCTCAAACTCGTTCAGCTTGATCAGGGCGTCGACCTGCTGGTATTTGAAGGGGGTCAGCGCGTCGGGCTTGACAATGGCAAATGTCCTGTTTGCGATGGCTTCGGCGGTGTAGCTGCTGCTGTTGGCGTTGGAGTTGTCCATGGCTGCGCGTGTGGTTGTGTTGCGCGTGCGGCGGTCGTATTGCGCGGGGTTAATGTCTTCAAAAAGCAGAGACACGCCAAAGTGCGGAGGTCGCTTGAATGTCGTGCCGGAGTGTACGCCTACGTGCGGTTTTTGTGACGAGCGGCCTAAGAGCTGGGTGAAAGCAGGTATCATCGTGGCAAGCAAAAAACGAAAGATGCGGGGCAGAGCGAGCAGTTGACGTGAGTGTGGGTGTGTGGGTGGTTAACAGTGAAATGAGGGGCGAATAATGGACAGAAAAGAAAGCAAGAAAGCAAAAGAGCTCACGGCTAAAGCTGAACAGATAGTTCCCGGTAGCTGGCGCTGCAGGTTGTTTGCGTGTGCCGACGTCTGCGGTATGCAGGGCAGCTCACGCGGCACTTTGGAGCACAGGCGAGCCAACAAGGCGAGCCCAACAGGGCGAGAGTTCTTTTTGTTTACGGTTGCTACTCGGCAAGAGTGGCTTTGCGCAGGCATTTAATGCAGACAATGCGAGCCTGCGTGTTTGTGCCCAACAAGGTCTCGTGCCCGCTCATCGCCGCTGCACACAGCGCGTGCCACTCTACGAAAAAAAGCTAGCATAAAAATACATGCTGCATTGAAGTGCCTTGGTTTTGTCGCACCGCCGTTGCAAATGGCAGCGCACAGCAGGGTGCAGAAGACAGGCATGAAAGCGGGCAAGAAGAGCAAACTGCAGTGCTTCGAGTATGTATGCGTGGCATGTTTTATTTTGCTTACGTTGTGTTAGAGGGCTGCTCTCGGAATGGGTTTAAAGCGGCGCTTGTCGTCTGTCTGGTGTGGAGTGGACGAGTGGGTGAACGAGTAAGTGGGTGGGCGGTTTTTTGCTGGTGCTGGTGCTGGTGCTGGTGCTGGTGCTGGTGCTGTGGTGCTGGTGCTGGTGCCGGTGCCGGTACTGAGGTGAAGACAAAAAGGCTGGAATAAGAAATAGAATAAAGCGGTGATGAGCGGAGCAGAAAAACGACAGATGGGCCCTCGATCGCCTTCCGCTTAGTCCAGCTTTCATGCGCTTTGTTGCGTTTTCGTGTTTGCTATTTTTATTAGTGGGCAGTCTCCATTGTGCAGGCGAGGGGGGCAGGAATGCTGACATTGGAGCCTGCCGCCTGTTGCATCAGAGCCAGGCTGAGGGGAGGCGCTTGGGCGGGCTGGCATTTTGCGCGAGGTGGAGTGCCAAAGCAGAAAAGCAGGTGCGGGAGTGGGATGGGATGACCGAGATTGGCAGCAGCAGCAGCAGCAGCCCGGACCAGCCGACTGCCTGCCTGCACATAGATCTGTCTTCCCTTTCCTGCCGCTCCACGGCGATGATTCTATCGCGGCTCTCACTACTGGCCACCCAGCCTGCGAGCAGCGGCGCGCGGGAATGGACCGATAAAGAGCCGGCCGCAAAGGAGAGGTCCAACTTTTGATCAATCGATCAATCGATCAATCAACCAACCAACCAACCACACCCCGCAATTTAAAGCGCCGCCGCCAAAACGATGCTGGATCTGGCAGTATCGCGTTGGTGGTGCGATCAAATCGGCCCGACCGGCAACTAAGGAGACCGATTCCACTAGCACAAATGTTTACTTTTGGGATAAATTGAAAGGAAGTTAAGAGGAGAAACTAGAGATGGCAGGCAGCCGTGCGTGCCTATGGCTCAACGACGGCTGGGCCCGCTTTGCTTATGGCGGCTGGGCCCGCCTCCTTCATGATTCGACAATCGCCTTGCGCAGAGCCGCCACGGCCTGGTCCTCGTGCTCCTTGCGCGCGTTGAACAGCTTGACGCGGCTGGCAACCTCGCCCATCCACCGCAGCGTGTAGATGTTGCCGTCGACAAACGAGAACTCCTTGAACTCCATGCGATGCTTGCGGCACAGGTCCTTGACCAGCGGCTGCACCAGAAGCAGGTTGTGCCGCGGCAGGCGCGGGAACAGGTGGTGCTCGATTTGGAACTGCAGCCCGCCGTGGAACCAGTCCAGCGCTCGGGGGCAGATGACATCCATGGTCGTGCGCACCTGGCGCGCCGCGAAGCACTCATGCACCGGGTCCGGCGACTCAGTCGACATGGCAAAGTGCGACAGCGTAATCTGGATGTGCAGCACGGCCGACGCCGAGTTCGACACCAGCACGTACAGCGCCAGGTACGGCCACGATGGGATGTGCGACAGTAGCCAGCTGAACCATGTGAAAAAGAGACCGATGCAGCAGATCTCCAGTGCGCGGAACGGCGCAAAGTCGCTGAACAGCAGGTAGTTCCAGCTCAGGAAGTACAGGTTGTATCGCGCAAAGCACATGATGAGGTAGTACATCTTGTCCTGCACCGACACAAACAGCCGCGCCGCCGCGTCGAACTCCATGACGCGCCGGTAGTACGTCGAGTACCGGCTCTCAAAGAACCGCGTCGACACTGCAAAGAACGGCAAGTGCTGGATGTCTGGGTCGTTGTCGACGTCGTTGGTGACGATGTGATGTGTGTTGTGGTTCTTCTTCCACCAGCCAACGCTCAGCCCGCCCAGCAGGTTGGCTACGCAGATGCCCAGCACCATGTCAAAGTCGCGATTCCCCGTCAGCTCGTTGTGGCCCAGGTCGTGCGCAAAGAACGACAGCTGTTGCCACAGCAGCGCCGTGCTGATGCCGGCCGCCAGGTACGTCCACGCCGACACCGGCCCGTACAGGAGCAGCCCGACTGCCGTGATAAACAGTGCCATGTACCGCACCGCCTCAAACGCGTACGCGCTGTAGTTGCACTGGTACAGCCCAGCCGCGCGCAGCTGCACGTCCAGCAGCCGGAAGTCGCGCTGGATCGCCGGGTAGTCCAGGTCGGCGCCCGTTGTGGTCGGTGGCTGCACGTGGCTGGACCCGTCGTCCGGCGACGACCGCGCCGCCGAGTACACAAGGTCCATGTCCTCGACATGCGACATGACGCCCTCGGCCTTGGCGTCGGTCACAAACCGCGCAACGGCCCACCGCGGTACAGCCGTCTCGAACACGTCCAGCGGGTGCATGCTCTTGACCTCGTCGGTCGCGTCGTGCCCGACCATGTGCATGATGGCCAGCGGCCCGCCCGGGTGCTTGTTGACAAACGCGTTGAGCTTGCAGACGAGCCCGTCGATGATGACCAGGTACTCGCCGCCGCCGATGCGCCTGCGCAGCTCGGCCGCTGTGCACGCTGGCAACCTGCCCCGCCGCTTCTCGGCCAGCAGTGCGGCTGGCATTGCTTTGGCAGCAGCTGCTGGGCTAGCCGGCATGAGGAATGGTGATGGTGATGGAGTGCGAGGGGGCATGCTGATGTGAAAGTGAAGGTGCGAGTGTGTGATTGTGATTATGATGTGAGTGAGTGAGTGGGTTTCTGGTGCGTTGCCTTTTGATTCCCTGTCCGCGTCCAAGTCTGTATATGAGTTTGAGTTTGTGCGAGGGGGAGCGAGAAAGGTAAGGAGAGTGAGTGAACAGGAGAACAAGAGAGCAAGAGGGCGAGGGCGAGAATTGTCGACAGTGAATGGCAAGTGGGGGCAGCAACCTGCAAAGGCGCGCACAAGTCACTAGAATCCAAGTCTCCTTTATTTCGTTTGCTCGTGAAAGAGGTGCCTACATTAGGACCGCCACCACACCATCCACACAAACACTGATGCCAACAACCATATTCTCTATTGTTGGTGTTTCACTGGGCGAACCTGTTGGCTGATTGTGGTGCAGTCCCTCCTTTTCTGCTGCAGCCAGTAGCGACCTAAAAAAGCAGTGGGGTTGCACTTTACCTGTACTGCCAAAACACAGTCTCATGCGCCAAGTCCAGTCTACACACGTTGCTAAATCACGCCGGGACAAATCTATTTTTTTCTATTTCGGCTGGCGACTGAAAATCGCTTCCGCGTTTGTGGTGCAGTGTTTTTTTGTTAAAATTTGTTTATGTTGTGGATTCGCTGATGATCCTAGAATATGATACCTGCTGTTGTGCTGGCGCCCGCTCAATGGTTGGACCGATCAAGTGATCAAGCCTTCAAGCGACCGATCGCTTGATCACTTGGCGCCAAGCGCTTGGCATTCAGCCGCCCAATCACAGCCTACCACACAAGCATGAATGTGCGCTGTGTGGTCTGGCTATTTTCGTGGCGCCCACATTGCTGTCACCACACAAAATCGACGTTGCTTTTTTTGTTTTGTATCTCTTATATTTTGGAACGCTCAATTCGTGCGCAATCCGCCCTTATTTATTTATTTCACCTAATTTCACTTCATTTCACTATATATGTTGATTTCACAAAAACATCTCGCAGCGCGGATGCTGCGCGCGGCCATAGTCGCGCTGTGCATACTCACTCTCTGCGTTGGCCTGGTCAGTGCCGCGGCAGGCAAGGACTACTACAAGATCCTTGGCGTCTCGCGCGACGCATCGCAGCAGGAAATTAAGCGCCAGTACAAAACTCTGTCACGAAAGCACCATCCGGACAAAAACCCCGGCGACGAGACTGCACACGAGCGCTTCATTGAACTCGCGCAGGCATACGAGGTGCTCAGCGACGACGAGAAGCGGGAGATCTACAATCGCTACGGCGAGGAGGGTCTGAAGAACCAGGGCGGCCCTGGCGGCGCCGGCGGCTTCCACGACCCCTTTGACATATTTGCCCAGTTCTTTGGCAGCAACGTGCGTTTTGGCCAGCGCGGTGGTGGCACGCGTGCCAAGCCTCGAGGCCCTGACGTGCACATCCGCGTGCCAGTCTCGCTGCTGGAGCTGTACACTGGGACTGAGATTGAAGTTGACACATCGAAGCAGGCAATTTGTCCGCACTGCGACGGATCTGGTGCCGCATCGCCCGATGACATTGAAACTTGCAATGTGTGCAGCGGCAGTGGTGTTCGCATCGTCAAGCAGATACTCGGCCCCGGAATCGTACAGCAGATGCAGACGACGTGCGACTCGTGCAAGGGCAAGGGCAAGAAAGTGTCCAAACCTTGCCCCCACTGCAAAGGCACGCGAGTCCACAGGGAGTCTGACCTGCTAGCCATCCGCGTCGAGCCCGGGATGGCCGACAGCGAGCAGGTTGTTTTGAGGGCGAGGCGGACCAGCACCCCGACCACGAGCCCGGATCGCTTGTCTTCCATTTGCAGCAGCAGGCTCATGCCACATTCACTCGTGAGGGCGACGACCTGCACGCAGAGCTCACGATCACGCTGCTTGACGCGCTTGTGGGGTTCACACACACCATCCTTCACGTTGACGACAAGACGAACATCGAGCTCAAGCGGTCCGATGTCACTCCGCCCGGCTTTGTGCACAAGCTGGTCGGCAGAGGCATGCCGCGGCGTCAGCGCTCTGCTGGCGCTGGTTCTGGCAAATTTGGTGACATGCACGTTACCTACTGGATACAATTCCCCAAGGCTTTAGATGCCGGTGCCAAGGAGCAGATAGAAAATGTGTTTAGCATAAAGTCCGGCATCAAGTGGGATGGAAGCGACAGCAGCCACGCAAAGGACTCTAACGTTCACCGCGGCCGGCAGGCGCCATCAGAGTCTGGCCACATGACGAGCTCTAATTGTGGGCGGGAAATGTGTACTTTGGCTTTTCTACATAGTTACCAAAAATTAAGAGCTTTTCAAACAGGATGCTAAAACAATGTAATCGAAAGAAGATATTACTAAGTATATTAAATATTATTCAAAATCAGACTGCGAAAGAGCTGAAGCTCGCATTCAGAAATCGCTGCGCGCATGCAGCATCATAACAATGAATTGCATGTGACTACAATATCACGTGCCACAGCCCAACTTTTGCGTTACACTATTTTTTTGTTAGTGGTAACCTTTTTAATCCAATTGTTCTTTTCAGTAACCAATGTGGATTTAATTGCTCTTGCTGGTAACTGTGACGCCAAACTTGAGCTGGGCCATGTTGCTGCGCTAATGCATGCAATCTTATTGTTGTGTCATTGCATGCCCGCCGTGACTATGTTGTGTGAGCCTATTTGGCTTTCTTTGTAGTTTCATAAATAATATATTTAGTATGCGTGTAAAACCCCATTTCACTAACCGATTTTAAATTCAATTGTTTTTGTGAGTTACCAGTTGAATTAAATTGAGAAATAAAAATAGAAAATAAAATAAAAAATAGAAAATCAGCCTATCTTTTTACTCGCTAGCTGCATCGAGCAGATCAGGTCGCCAGCATTGAGGCTGTCGCTGAGCTCGACGTCCAGTGTCTCGATGACACCATCGGCAGGCGCGCCGACAACCGTCTCCATCTTCATTGCGCTGAGCACACAGATGGCCTGGCCAGCCTTAACTTGTCGCCAACAGCAGCCTTAATCTCAACGACTGCACCGCTCATGGGCGCCCAAGCTGGTTCTTCTTGGCAGGGTCGGCGCGCGGGCGGATCTTGGCCTCGGGCTGCACAGACATGTCCTCAATTGTGACAATGCGTGGCTCGCCGTTGATCTCAAAGTACACCTCGTGTTTGGCAGTCTCTTTGTCCAAGGGGCCCAGGGCAATGAAGCGGATGATCAGCGTCTTGCCGACCTCGAGCTGCACCTGAATCTCCTGGTTGACCTCAAGCGGGCTAAGGAAGAGCGGCGTCGGGATGAGAGACACATTGCCATACTTTTGGCGCTGCGACTGGAATTCGTCAAACACCGCCGGGTACAGTGCCGCCGACAGCAGATCCACGTCGCGGATGGAACCAGGCCCCCACTTCTCCTCCAGCTCGCGGCGCAGCTGGTCAAAGTCGAAGGGCGCCATGGTCGCGCCAGGACGCTCGTCGATCCTGGTCGCGTCGCGGATAATATCGGCGCGCAGCTGCTCTGGGAATCCGCCAACGGGCTGGCCGAGGTACCCTGGAAGAACTCAACAACTGACTTGGGAATGATAGCGTCGACGCACGCTCTACGACCTCGTCGGCAGTGAGGTGGTTGGATACCATAAATGGGCAAAGTCGCCGACAACCTTGCTGCTCGGAGTGACCTTGACAAGATCACCGCAGATGCGGTTGGCCTCGGCGTAAGCCGACTTGACATCGTTCCAGCGCGAGCCCAGACCAAGCGACTGCGCCTGGAACAGCAGGTTGGTGTACTGACCACCGGGCATCTCGTGGATGTAGACCGAAGTGTCTGAAGCCTTGACTCCAGGGTCAAAGCTGGCGTAGAGCAGGCGGGTCTGCTCCCAGTACGAGTTGAGCGACTGGATCGCCTCCGTCGTGATGCCCGTGCTGTACTCGCTGCCCTCCAAGGCCGAGACAAAGGCGCCCATGCATGGCTGCGATGTGACGCCCGACATGCTGTCGATGGCCAGATCGATGATGTCCGCGCCAGCCTCGGCACAGGCAATCATGGCTGCAACGCCAGCGCCAGCAGTTCATGGGTGTGGACGTGGATGGGCAGGTTCGGGTGGCGCGCGCGGATGGCGCCGATCAGCATCCGGGCGGCGCGCGGCTTGAGCAGGCCGGCCATGTCCTTGATGCCCAGAATGTGGATGTCCAGCGCCACGAGTTCGTCGACCAAGTCGAGGTAGTACTCGAGCGTGTACTTGGGGTGCTTGGCCGGGTTCGACACGTCGCCGGTGTAGCACACAGTGGCCTCAATGACGCCGTTGGCCTTGCGCACGGCGTCGATGCCAGCTTGAGGTTCTCTACATAGTTAAGCGAGTCAAACACGCGGAAAACATCAACACCGTGCTCGCGTGCCTGCTTACAAAATTCGTAGACAACGTTGTCCGGGTACGACGTGTAGCCGACGGCGTTGGCACCGCGCAGCAGCATCTGGAACGGAACGTTGGGCACCAGGCGGCGCAGGCGGTCAAGGCGCTCCCAGGGGTCCTCGTGCAGGAAGCGCATTGCGACGTCAAAGTCGCGCCGCCCCACATCTCGAGAGCAAAGGCGTTGGACAGCGCGTGCGCAGTGGTCTGCGCAATGCGCTCCATGTCGTGGGTGCGCAGACGGGTGGCCAATAGCGACTGGTGTGCGTCGCGCCAAGTCGTGTCCATGATCAGCACGCCCTTGTGCTGACGCACTGCTTGCGCAAACGCAGCGGGCCCATTCTTGAGCAGAACATCGCGCCAGCCAGAGGGGGGCGCCGTCGCTACGTCAATCTGGTTGCCCTGCGAGTCGAGCAGCTTGGGCACCGAGGGCTCCTGCAGACCACGGAGGGGCGCAGTGACCTGGCCCTGGATGCGGCAGCCGTTGACTACCAAGTCACCGAGATACGTCAGCAGCTTGGCGGCGCGGTTGCGGAACTTTGTCACAGCAAAGAGCTGCGGAGTGTCGTCGATGAACGTTGTCCAGCAGTCGCCCTTGATGAAGATCGGGTCGGACAGCAGGCGCTGCAAGAACCACATGTTCGTTTTGACACCGCTGATGCGGAACTCAAGCAGTGACGCGAGCATGCGCCGGCGGGCCTTCTCAAAAGTTGCGCCCGAGCAGGTAAGCTTAACCAGCAGAGAGTCGTAGAACGGCGTGATTATGGAGCCGGTGAATCCCGACCCGCCGTCCAGACGCACTCCATTGCCGCCGGGCGAGCGGTAGACCTCAATCTTACCAATGTCCGGCTGGAAGCCCTGCGCAGGATCCTCGGTCGTGACGCGGCACTGAATGGCAAATCCGCGGAGCTGTATGCGCTCTTGCGACAGCTGCAGCTCGGGCAGCGACCAGCCAGCGGCGATGTGCAACTGCAGCGAGATAAGATCCAGTCCAGTGACCTCCTCAGTGACCGTGTGCTCGACTTGAATGCGCGGGTTGATCTCAATAAATAGTGGCCGCGGTCGTCGACAAGGAACTCGGCCGTGCCGGCGTTGCGGTAGTTGACATGGCGCGCAATCTTGACTGCGTCGGTGAGAATGGCATCACGCAGCTTGATATCGAGGGTTGGCGCGGGCGCGATCTCAATGACCTTTTGGTGGCGGCGCTGCACCGAGCAGTCGCGCTCGAACAGATGGATCACATTGTCGCGGCCATCGCCAAGCAGCTGCACCTCAATGTGCTTGGGCTGGTGGAGGAAGCGCTCGATAAACACGGTGCCATCACCAAAGGCCGACAGCGCCTCGGAGCGGGCACGGTCAAAGGCAGAGTCAAGCTCGTCGGCCTGACGCACGACACGCATGCCGCGTCCGCCACCGCCCATCGCCGCCTTGATAATGACTGGGAAGCCGTACTTCTCGCAGAAGACACGGGCGTCGGCCAGATTATCGATAGGGCCGTCAGTACCGGGCACAACGGGCACGCCGCACTCGTTGGCCACGTCGCGGGCCTTGACCTTGTCGCCCAGTGCGTCAATGGTTTCGGGGCACGGGCCGACCCACTTGAGCCCGGCGGCTTCAACCTTGCGCGCAAAATTGGCGTTCTCGGAGAGGAAGCCGTACCAGGGTGCACGGCGTCGCAGTTACGCTTCAGCGCAATGTCGATGATGTCGTCCTGCGCCAAGTAGGCGCCGACTGGCGTGTGCTTGCCCTCGGGCGCAATCTGGAAGGACTCGTCGGCCTTGTAGCGGTGCATGGACAGACGGTCCTCGTAGGCGTAGATGGCGACGGTCTTGAGGCCCAGCTCGTGCGCTGTGCGCATAATACGCATGGCGATCTCACCGCGGTTGGCGATCAGCACCTTGTGGAACTTTTTCGAGACGACCGGGCTGGTGTTCTTGAGGTGCAGCAGACCTTCCTCGTTGGGCATGTGGAAGCGGCGCTCGACCTCCTTGACGCTGCTTTCGGCATGGCTGGCCAGGTTGTCGAGAGACTGCGGCCGCGAGAGCGATTTGAAGCTGTACTTGAGGTAGTCAAAGTTCATGCTGGGAACCTTGTCATCACTCTTCTGCCTCGCGGACACACCCGAGGCGAGATGGAGGCGATGACATCGCTGGGAAGTCGCCGTCAGACATTGATCCTAGCAGATGATAGCAAAATTAATGGGTAAGAACGAGAATAAATGGGCCACAGCCAGAGTTTAAAGTTTAAAAATGTGCTAAGCAATAATAGGCAAGATAAGTGAAGCAAGGGAGGCGAGGATGATACAAAATATAAAGACGAGAAGAAAAGAAGAGAAGAGAAGAGGGGCTTTTGGCTAATATAAAAGGTGGGTGGTTATTTGCGGAGAACAAGCGAGCAGATGGGCCATGCCACGAGTTATTTTATAGGCAGCTAAATGGTTGTTGTCTCCGCAACTCATATATTGTATGCGCACAGTGGCCAGCTGAGCACAGTTGACCAGCTGCGGCTGAAATCGTTCTCTTTATGCCACCTCTCTCTTTGTCTGCGACAGAGATAGCAGGAGATAATGAATGACTGAGCGAGCGAGCGATCGCACAAGAGAGGGGGGGGGTGCCAGCCCTGTGCACCGGACCCAGTGCAATAGGGAGAGTGTGGACATCCGGGCATGGCATCGGCAGCTGTCAAGGGCAGCGGCGCCGGTAGCGGTGCGGCATATAATGGCATTATAGAGTGGCATTGCAAAGGGTGGGAAAATAAATTTTCCACGGCTGCTCACTGGTGGTGACCAAAACAGGCTATATGCATGTGTTAGCGAGCGCACCGCCACTATTATCTCTGCTCCCATCTGCACTTGCGGCGACAGGCCAGGGCAGAGCAGAGCAGAGAAGGGCAGGAGGCTTGGAGAGTCTGATCGCAGCAGGATAATAATTTCGGCAATTTCCAAATCACACTGAGTCACAACAATATGCGGTTGCCCGAAATGGAAGCTGAAAATATCCACCAAGAGCAAAACCGGCAAAAAAATGGCCTTTCACACCGAGATCGATGGTGTTGATCCCTTGACTTTTTTCTACAGTTTCTTGTGCAAAAAAGGCCCAGGAGCGAAGAGCGAAAGAGCGAAAGAATGAAAGAGCGAAAGGGGCCGTATGCTGAATGGGCCGTACTTACCAGTAGATGAGTCCGAGTGTGGCATCTCGTAGCTTGGGCGCCGAATCGCTGAAAAAGCATTGGACATGTTGGGAATAGAATTCAGTAGGCAAATTGAACGGGTTAATATAAGTGCGATGTGATATGATATGCTACCAAAATGGCTTGAAGGCTGTTTTAGCTATTCTAAAGTTATTTTTAAAAAAGCGCGTACGAGTGAGCGTATGAATTACAATAGTTACTTGCTTCAAGTGGGCACATTGCGGCCAGCAAGCCTTTTATATGGCCTTGACAGACACTTTGCAAATTGTCAAATGTTCACAATCTGCCTGAAGAGCCAGTTGCAATTTGCGATGCGCGCTAACAAAGCTTGTGTTGATCTGAAAGCAAAGCAGTCCATTTCTATGACGGCATCATTCCGGCATTGATTTGTTTGATATTGCCTTCGTCCGTGCCCTTAGCTGCGAGGCCCACGTGAAGGGATATATAATGTTTATAGGCAAAGAAAATCGGTGAAGCTTCAACATTTACTGCTCCATCCCAGCCTCTGCTTGCCAATTTGTTCTTTCCTGCATAGGTCCACCGTCGATTTATGCTGCTTTGTGCCGTTGGTGCTGATGTTTGCATTTCCCACGGCATTATTGTGTTAATTTTTAGTTTTGTTGCGACAAATATATGCAAACAAGTCATGACATGCGCATGCGCATGCACATACTCGGTTGTTTGCCACATCTGCTGACTGATAATATGTGGCCAGCCCAATTAAAAAACAAAACAAAACAAATCGCGCGCGCTGCGTGAAAGCATGTGAATATTCTGTATAATTTCAAAGCCGACATTCAGCATAGCAGTGTGGTTTGCTCTCAACTGCACTCGCAAAATCCAATGCTGCGAGCTTTGCTTTATTAGTGTCGACACATCGCAAATGCTCGTCGCCCGTTATATTGCTGACGGTCGCTTTTACGCATTGCTGCTGCGACTGCCTGTATATTCTGCGATTTCCGCCTTTTGGATTCCCAATGTGCCACGCCCGATTTATTCTATAAGATGCTTCCAGAAAAGGAAGTCACACTGTGCGCGCACGCGCAGCATTGTCCCAAGGTTGATGAGCACCACCGCCGTCGTCATTATTGCTGCCACTTCACTTGTTCAAAATTCCGCCCCAAATTGATCACATATTGCCTCCGCCTGTCGTTGTTCCATACCTGCAGCTGCGATTGGATACTAAATGCCATTGCTGGCGAATCCTTAAAACAAACACTAAAACAGAACTTTCGCATGTCCGCCGTGCCTCTTATCGACGAACTGCCACGATGAAGAACAGCGTAAACCCTCCTCCAGAAAAATAAAAGCTAAAGAGGGAGTCGGTGGTAGCATCGACGTACAAATTACAAAGTACATAGTCCTTGTCTGTGCTCGTGCTCGTACTCGTTCTCGTTCTCGTGCTGCCTGTACATCTACGTCGCCGCTGAGGACGCCTTTCTTACGCCTGGCCATCATGCGGTGTTATCGTCGGCAACATTGACGTCAACACTACAGCTCGCCTCGAGTAGCTCTGCCTTTTGGTAGGATAAATAAATATTTATTTAAAAAACGACATGAAGAAAAGACAAAACGCACCAGCGAACAGTGCAGTGTTCGGGTCATGTATTTAATTAGATAAGATCAGACCTTGGGATTGGGAAGGTCGACAAAGTTCAGTGTGCACGACCAGCCCTTGTTCTTGATCTCGATGGACTCCTCCTCGGGGCACCAGCACTTGTCGTTGGCCTTGCCCTTGGGACAGTTCCACAGCGGGCCGTGATAGTAGCCAATGTCCTCGAACCAGTGCACCTCGTTCTTGTTCAGGAACATCGCCACGCCCAGCGAGTGCACGGGCGCATCTCCCCACCGCTCGTAGAAAAAGCCACCAGCACGGTCCAGTAGTCAAAGTACGATAAGTACCTTTCAGAGCGCAAAAAGTCCAGGCTTCCAATTTCAAAGTTGGACCAGAAGTGGCACAGATTGTAACCGCCGTCCTTGTTGGTGACGAAATCCAGCATATTGGTGGATGGAATGAGGTCCTTGTGCTCGTCCATGAACTTCATCGTGGTGTTCCAGAGCGTAGGGATTGTCTCGACAACCTCCTTGATCGAGATCGTGAAGCCGTACTTCTTGTTATTCTTTTCCATGAACAGGAACGGGTCGTAGTCGATCTCGCACGCAAACTTGACTCCAGGCTCCACGCGCCAGTACCATTTGTACTTGTCCATCAGCGGGTGGCGGAAGAAAAAGCCCGACTCGTAGCGGCACATATGGCGGTAGCTCTCGTGGCCGCCATAAATTATCTTGCGCTCTTTCATGTCCTTGCGAACCTCGGCGGCTTGCGTCTGGTTGATGTAGTCGGGGTAAGACCAGTGCTCAGTGGGGATGAGGCCGAACTCGCAGTCGCCGTGACGACGCTGCTGATCTTGGCCTTGAACTCTTCGCTGAAGGGCTCGTTATTGAGGAACACATAGGGGTAGTTGTAGCGGCGGTTGAAACGGTCCTCAAGCTGAATGAGCGTCTCCCGGAGGTCATTCAGGTCCTTGTTGCGCGTCAGAATGACAAAGGCAGCGTCCGCCTTGGGCTCCTTAATCTCCTCCTTGGGGACCTGTACAACCTCTGTCACGACGCTGGTCTGGAGTTTAAGCGAGGTCTGGACGACTGTAGAAGTCACCGTCTGCGTCCTGCGCGCGAGCTCGGCCGTGCGCATGTCGCTGACAAAGTTGAAGTCGTAGCGGAGGTCTCGCCAGACCACAAGTAGGCCGACGAATGCGGCGACAATAAATATTATGCTCCGCCAATCGCGCCGGGGTGCCATGAGTGCAGCTCTGCTTTTAGTGTACGATTGTGTGAGGGGGGTTTGAATCTACGAGCTGAATGAACGACAGGACGACTCTAAAGAAAGAAAAATAAGAATAAGAGGAAAGAGACAACAATCTCAGAGACAAAAAAGGGATATCGCTTAAGCGAACCGTCAACACAACGACACGCGGTCCACTGACTTTGTGCAGCCAATCGCCGCGCACCGCACAAAAGCGGGGATGGAGAGCAAGTCCAAAACCAACAACAATGTGATGTGCATTCTCAACCTTTTCACGGAACGCTGTTTTTTTATGAAGTGCCCTCTTTGTTTGACTTTTGCTGCAATTCGACTAATCTACTCTTTCTACCTTCTACCCGAACACCTAATAAACATTAAAAATTACCACCTGCCACAACTGCCATTCCAGCCTCCCCACGTACCTCTTTCACGCGCTATTCCCCTTTCCAGCTCTAAATTGCATTTGCACAGCAGCACATTGTAATTCTACCACTACCACCACTACCAACACAGCAGCAGCAAGGAAAACGAGGCAAACACAGACGTAAACGCAAACTTGCCTTCCTCCTCGGAATTGGACGCTGCAAACACTGACTCTGACACTGACTCCAAATACACTTTATGACAGACACAGCAATTTCGGCGGGCGAGCTGGCCGCCCAGCGCCGTGACCATTTGCCCAGGCAGCAGCCGCATCTGCCACTTAGGCACAACATGGCCGGTAGCGGCGCGCATGACGCAGGTAGCGTGATTCCAGCATCACTGGGTGCTGCTGAGCGCCGGCCCAATATCCGGCCAATGAGCGTCGGAGGAAGCAGCGGCGATACCGGCCAGTTCCCAAGCCTGGGCCCCCATCCCGGAGCGGTGCCCATTGCCAGAATCAACTCGACCAGCGACGCTTACGACCGCCACAGCGCGCATTCGCGCCTGCAGCCAAAGTCGTCGTACCACCAGCAACAGCGCGCAGCCGGTAACATGCACGAGCATGTTTTTAACGCCCACGACCCAGCGGCAGCCAAGCCCATAATGCCAGCCGGCCCAGTGGCCGGGGCCGAGTCCGGCGTGGCAATGGCGGCGCCACAAAACGGCTACCGCAGCAGCGGCACCCGGCGCATGGTTGGTCCCTACCAGCTTGCGAAGACCATTGGCGCCGGCAGCATGGGCAAAGTCAAGGTTGCGCTGGACACACGGACAAACAAGCGGGTAAGTGGCGCTGCTATGTATTGCGCTGTCTATTTAAGTGACACTACCCATGATCCATATGATTCATGATCCATGATTTGTGGTGCACGCTGCACGCTACACGCTACGCTAATGCTAACACACACCCACACAATTCATTTGCCGATTTTTGCTCATGCCGTAGGTTGCCGCCAAGATAATCCCGCTCCAGCAGCTCGACGCGCCCATCTACTTTCCAATTGGCGTCGACACCACGACGGTGCCGCTACCACGTTCTGGCGGACAGGCTAGCGCTTCGGGCCGACCCGCGTACACCGGCCCAATTGACCCTGCGGCAGAGCCGTGGCGGACTTGGCTCACGAGCCTGGCCCTCGAGAGCTACCCCGACGTGGCGGCAGCGGCACAGATATCCGTGCGCATCCAGCGCAAGCTGCGGCTCCTGCAGCCGCGCGAGCGGTACACAACCAAGGAGCGCGAGCGGCGCGAGAACAAGGACATCCGCATCGTGCGCGAGGTTGCGATCAACAGGCTGCTGCACCACCCACACATCTGCATGCTGCACGATGTCATAGTGCACCCAAACCATTACTACATTTTTCAGGAGCTGGTCTCCGGTGGCCAGATGCTTGACTACATTATCAGCCACGGCCGCCTGAAGGAGAAGCACGCGCGCAAGTTTGCGCGCCAGATCGCGTCCGCAATTGACTACTGCCATCACAACTCGATCGTGCACCGCGACCTCAAGATCGAAAACATCCTGATCTCGGCCAACGGAAACATCAAGCTGATCGACTTTGGTCTGTCCAACCTGTTCTCACCGCGCTCGCAGCTGTCGACCTTCTGCGGCTCGCTTTACTTTGCCGCGCCAGAGCTGCTGAATGCGCAGCCGTACGTCGGCCCCGAGGTTGACCTGTGGTCATTTGGCGTTGTGCTCTACGTGCTTGTCTGTGGAAAGGTGCCCTTCGACGACCAATCGATGCCGGCTCTGCACGCCAAAATCAAGCGCGGACACGTCGAATACCCGAGCTGGCTGAGTAACGAGTGCAAGCACCTTCTCGCGCGCCTGCTGGTCGTGCTGCCCCCACGCCGCGCGACCATGAGCGAAGTCGTGCGCCACTCGTGGATGACCAAGGGCTACGTCGAGAACCCGCATATCAACTCGTATTTGCCGCCTCGCATTCCGCTGCTGGCACCGGAGCAGATCGACCGCGCTGTTGTGCGTGAGATGTCGCAGTACATTGGCTTTGGCTTTGGCTCGGAGGAGGAGATTCGCCTGGGCCTCGAGGCTATTCTGACAGAGGACTGGTACCGCAGCTGGGTCAAGGATGCCCTTGCCCCTCACATTGATGATGTGCGCCAGCAGATTCGCGAGCAGGTTGCACAGGCCCAAGTCAACGCTGCTTCTGCTGCGCATGCCGCAACGCAGCGCGCGCCCTCTAGCTCGCAGTCGCTTTCTGTTTTCAACGCTGGGTCGTCCGGCGTTACTCTGAACACCTCAACGGACCCTTGCTCTTCGTCGACCTTTTCTGGAATTCCTGGAACGGCGGCGGTGGCCGCAACATTGGCCCAGGCAGGCGGCAGTGTCACCGGAGCCCTTGGAGGCGCCAACGCCCGCCTGGAGCTCGGCAAGCAGCCAGACGCTGGCGCCAACGAGTCTGTACGCAAGCGCTCCAGCTTTTGGAAGCGCAGCAGCACGTTTATATCTGGCGGGCTTGTGCGCACAGGCCAAAAGACAGCCTTCGACACGCCCGCTACTGGCTCGCAGGTCCAGCCAGGCGCAGCGGTGGAGAAGAGCCAGCTCGGCCAATTCCGCGTTCTGTCCGGCCGCATATTCAACGAGGGCAAGCATGCTCTGGGGTCGGGGAACGGCACCGGCAACAGCGCCGACCGTGAGTACCCGGTTCTTCCACTGTCAGCGCACTCGCCCCGCATGGTTTTGGACTCTGCCTCCGGAATGGTCTGCATCTGCAAGGACGGAAAGCTTGCGCCACCTGACACCGACTGTGCCGCAATCCAGCGGGACTATTACGACCTCGTGGCCACCGACCCGCTGCTGAGCATATACTTCCTCGTCAAGGAGCGGCGCGAGCGCGAGGCCCGCGGCGTTGCCGATCAGGCCGAGGCGAATCCATATGCGCCGGCCCATCCATCCGGCCGCCCTCTCTCCCACGAGCAGCAGCCGCAGCCGCAGCCGCATCCTGTTGCATCAGTGGAGGCCATCAACCTGCCGCCTGCTGTGGCTGCGAAGCCCATCGCGCGTGGTGCAAACAGCTCCAACGAGACGTGGGTCAAACTCGAGCGAGCCGGCGTACGTCCTACCAACGACAACAGGGATGACCGGCGCCCAGCGAGAAAAGAGAGTGATGCCTCAGCTGTGCGTGGCCGAGATGCGCAGGCGGCGCAAGACCTAGCCGCAGTGCTTGCTCAAGAGAGCCACACCAACGCGCCAAGCGGTCTTGGGGCAGCCGGGAGCGTGGACACAGCAGCACACCCGTCGGAGGCCAGGCCGGGTGTGGAACGGCGCATTAGTGATGGCAACAGCAACAGCAATAGCTATACGTCGGTGGACCAGACTACCGCAGCCATTGAAGCGCTGTCGCAAAACCCGCGGTCGCGGGGTTCGGTTGTTCCGCCGGGCACGCACGGCTCAGACGCCTTATCCCCGCCTGGCTTTCAGGACGCCAAGAAGAAGCGCAGCAGCATTTTCAAGCGCTTCAGTGTTATTGTCAAGGGTGGCCGCTCCTCCGGCCAAAAGCTGCAGAGCACCCCTGAAGACTCGGACTCGCACATTGTCCAGGCCGAGGGCAACGAAATGGGGTACATGGAGATCAGCGTTCACAAAAACGACACCAAAAATGAAGGTGGTGGCAATGACAAGACTGCCGACCGCGGTGCCGGTGCCAGCAGCATCAGCAGTAGAAGTAGCAATAGCCCACACAATAAGCAGCAGCCGCAGCACACGCCCGATCTGCACCATCACCCTTCAAATGCTGATTCGGTCGCTGCCAAATCCAAGAACGCGCCTTTAAAGCAGAAATACGCAGTCTTGGACAGCATTGGGGAGGACGTGACATACGCTCGTTTGCGCGATTCAGCTGAAGAATTTAATTCCGGAAACACTGCCGCCGGCGGAGCCTCCGTTAGTGCATCTGCCACCAACAGCCCCGATGCTGCCGATGCTGCCGACCCAGCTGCGGGCCGCCAGTATTTGACCAAGCCGCTTTGCTTGCAACAGTCGCACGATGCCTCTTTGTTGTACTCTGCTGCCAAGGTCTCTAAGGAGGCAGATAAAGAGACATTGGCTGGCGCCCAGCTCGTATTATCGACGACTCTCCCTGACGCCTCCTCCGCTTCTGCGCCCAGTGCTGCTTTTAATGATCATAGTGTTGATTCTATTGCTAATTCCGCCGCTGCCAGTGGGTCTGGCGCGGGCACAGTGCATTTCGCCAGCCGAGCTGATCCGTCACATTCTCTGGACGACCTCGATGGCACATCTTCGATGTTTACCAACACAGACATTGACGAGAGCGATGCGTTTGTCCGGCAAGCACTGTCGACAGCCGGCAGCCCGACGTCGTCCGAAAAGGCAGCCCTGCTTGAAAGGGCGCGACGCGAGATTGAGGGGCTTGATGAGCACGAAGGCGTGGGGCTTCTTGACCAGACCCCCGAGCTCAGCTACCGTGTTGCTGGGCAGACGCGCAAGTCCAACTTTGACGCTAACAAGCGCCGCGCGCGGTCCTCGTCAAACACGGTTGTGCGCGTGCTTAGTGAGATTGTGCGCGACACCTCCAACGGAAACAGCCGCGGCGGTCGCCACGTACCCGGATTCTCTGCTCTTTCCCAGCATCGGGGAGCAAAGCCGACGGCACCCCATGGCCAGAATATAAATAGCTTGGCGCCTACCACAAAGACGATCATGCGCCATAGCAGCACGGGCGCAATTAACCGGACCGGTGGCGCAAACGAGGGTTTTGACAGCTCGCCACCAGTCGGAACGCAATACGTTCTGCATCCGACTGAATCCAATGGCGCCTCGGCTGGCAACAAGACTGTGTTGCCTGACCCTGCGCTTGCGGGCACTGCCGGCCGCCCTGATATATTGCGCTCTCACTCGCACACGAACAGCCACCAGTTCCGCGGGCTTGCGCTGCCAGAGCGGATTGCCGAAGTTCCTGAATCCCCGCCTCCGCGCGAACAGCAGCCAGAGAATGCGCTACGGATAGGAACAGGCGCTGGTGCGCGCCAGGGTTCAGCAGGCGCATATGCGAGCGATTCTAAGTGCAGCGAGCTGGCTGGCAAAGATTCTAGCCGTGAGCTCGACCAGGGCGGCAACTCTAGCAGGGCTGGCCAGCAGCCGGAGAACACGGCGACAATTGGCTTCAAGCTGGACCCTGAATCTGGACCGTTGTCCACAGACAACGCCTACGCCAGCGCCAACGCGTCCAGCAATGGCGAGGCTATGCGCGATATTGCCAGTGCCCCTCCACGCGCTGACGATTACCTCAAGCCAGTGTTTTTGAAGGGTCTGTTTTCCGTGGCGACGACGTCCACTCGCTCTCCAGCAGCGATCCGCGACAACCTGCTTGGCGTACTGACCGGCATGCCACTTCGCTTCCATGAAGGCAAGGGCTACTTTACGTGCAGCATGGCCACGGCCGCCGGCCCAGCGAATCTCCAAGAAAGCACGCTTGATGCGTACGCGCACGGAGAGCCGACATCATCCAATAATTCTGGCCTGCACAAACACAAAAAGGCATTGCGCCTGCCAGGCGTAGACAGAAAAATAAGCTTCCGCCGGCGGCCCAAGCACATCGATGAGGCTGTGCTTTCTCTGACCACGTCGAGTGTCAAATCGGCTGCGCGCGATGGCCTGTCAAGCACCGACGATGTGCTTCTGGGCTCGCGCCAAAGCGTGATAGAGTCGACCGGCGAAGACGCCAAGGACAACCAACAGCAGCAACTTGCAGCCATTAACGCCAGCACCAACGCCAACGCCAATGCCATTTGCTTCCAGATATTCTTAGTGCGCATGCCTTTGTTGGGACTGTGCGGGCTGCAGTTCCGCAGGGTGTCTGGGCCAGCATGGAAGTACAAGGATATTTGCTCTGACATTCTCAAGCGCCTCAAGCTTTGATCACACTTCCCCACACACTTTATCGGTCCGAACCTGTAAGCTTATTTGATGCGAAGTGGTCCCTGATTTTTTTGTTTTCTTTCTAATTTGTCAAATATAATTCCGTTTTATTTTTATTTTTTGCTCTTCTTATGTTGAACGTCAAGTGGAGGCCGGTAGCTATAATTATAGCAGTTGTTCTGCTTGTACACTTCCTTTTACTCTCACCCTACTTGGAATCGCACTCTTCAGACAGCCGCAATTCTGCAGATGAAAAGGCGAATGCCGACAATGGAATCGCTCTTCCGCACAATGACGCTCTCATTGACATACAGCACCCTTTGCCAGTGACAGTCACTGTCACTCGCGGTGATAGCTTTGTCCCCACAGTGACTGAGGTCATTAAGGAGACTGTTTTTGCCCAACACGACAGGCCTGCTAGTTTGGAAAAGACGAACGCCGCTTTTGTCATTCTGACGCGCAACAAGGACCTGAAGGACCTCCGGGAGACGCTCATTCAACTTGAGGACCGCTTTAACCGCCGCTACAACTACCCCTATGTGTTCCTCAACAATGAGCCCTTCAGCGAAGAGTTCAAGGCCAAGATCAGCAGCGTCGTCACCGGCGACTGCGAGTTCGGCCTCATCCCCACTGAGCACTGGTCTTACCCTGACTACATCAACCAGACGCAAGCCGCCGAGGTTCGCAAGGACATGAAAGAGCGCAAGATCATTTATGGCGACAATGAGAGCTACCGCCATATGTGCCGCTACGAGTCGGGCTTTTTCTTCCGCCACCCGCTGATGGACAAGTACAAATGGTACTGGCGCGTGGAGCCTGGAGTCAAGTTTGCGTGCGAGATCGACTACGACCCGTTCCTGTTCATGGAAAAGAATAACAAGAAGTACGGCTTCACGATTTCGATCAAGGAATATATCCAGACAATCCCTACGCTCTGGGACACCACGATGAAGTTCATGGACGAGCACAAGGACCTCATTCCATCCACCAATATGCTGGATTTCGTCACCAACAAGGACGGCGGTTACAATCTGTGCCACTTCTGGTCCAACTTTGAAATTGGAAGCCTGGACTTTTTGCGCTCTGAAAGGTACTTATCGTACTTTGACTATCTGGACCGTGCTGGTGGCTTTTTCTACGAGCGGTGGGGAGATGCGCCCGTGCACTCGCTGGGCGTGGCGATGTTCCTGAACAAGAACGAGGTGCACTGGTTCGAGGACATTGGCTACTACCACGGCCCGCTGTGGAACTGTCCCAAGGGCAAGGCCAACGACAAGTGCTGGTGCCCCGAGGAGGAGTCCATCGAGATCAAGAACAAGGGCTGGTCGTGCACACTGAACTTCGTCAACCTTCCCAATCCTTGAACTCTCAAGCGAACAATGATTTTCTGTTAACTTCACTTTATCGTACTTTTTTGTAAAACTTAACAGGTATATTCCTATTGCCTCTGCCAGAGAAACATTATCATTAACATTCGAAGAATGGGGGAACTCATAACACCTAAAGAAAAGAATCAGACTACAAATATCTAAAAAAATTCAAGTATCCTGCAAATTAACATCCCTCCCACAGATTGAATAACAACCTGAAAAGTATTTAGAAACTAGTGGCAATAGACCACTATGGTTGCAGATATTATCCAGTTCCCTGCTTCTTTTGAAGAGAAGAAGCAGGAACAGATGGATTTTTGCGCACACGCTTGGTCTTGAACTTTGGCTTGGGCAAGGTCCCAGGTGTCACTGTAGACTCAGGTTCAGCCGACTCTGACGATGCATTTTTGCGCAAAAAAACAGGGAGGACGATTGCTTGTAAACAGGGTATTAAGGATTATGCGAAAGTTTAGCACTGCAGCAGTGTCACAATTACACTTCCGTCTGCCTGATGGCACTTTTTCGCCATTCTTGATCTTGGTTCCCTCAGCCCTGAAGGTTTGCAGGCAATCTTCCATTGTGCACTGGAGCAAGCTGTGGCATAAAATTTGGTGAGGTTTTTCTACTGCTGGAATTGTATTTATGCCTGTTGCGGCTATCTGCCCCTGCTGTGCGGCCAACTCATTGCGCATCATCTGTCTAATTTTGCGGGAAATTTTGCCCTTAACCTAGGCCTTTTCCTCCCCTATCTACCAGACGATATCGGTAGACTCTGGGCGAATAGGCATCCACTGGTCGAGACTCTGCTGCGTACTGTCAATAATAGATGCGGCGTCGGCGGCAGTTTTAGTTGCAACAGAAATGACAGTGGCTGCTGCTGCAACAAAATCAGCAAGGGTGCTTGTTGCGGCTGCAACGGAATTGGATGATGCAGCGGTTGCCATTGCAACATGGTACTTGTGCTTGGGATTCTTCAGACGAGGATTATAAATTTTGTGAACCTTCTCCATCCTGCTCTTGCACCCCGGACAAAACGTTGAAGTGCAATACTCGCCGATCAAATAAACAGTGAATCCCTGAGCTATTAGCATTTTCCGCAGCCCCTTGTCACGAATTGGCTTATGGTGACGGGCCATGCCTGGGTCCAATTACAAAGAATAAGGACTGCATCTGGTCCAGATTTTGCAAGTTCGACGTCGGCACGCTTTCTGTTAAAAAAGGAAAGATAGCGGAGCCTGCAGTGCAAGGGGTCAATGGAGCTGCTGCCGTCATGTTTCCGACTCTTACTGGGGGTCTGCGCGTTGTGTTAATGTTCTCCCAAAACAAAACTACCTTTACGGCACTCAAGTATGTACTCGACATATAACTTGCAATTAAGTATACTAGAGCCAGGGTGGTTAAGCACGCGCTCGGCCTCCTCAACAGACTTATACCAACCATTTGTTTGCGCCTTGGCGAGCTTCATGGGGTCAAGCTGGATTACCTTTTTCATTTTCGTAGATCCATCGAAACACACGTCCACGATGATTATTAGCCTCTGAATTCATGGTATAGTGGAAAATAACTTTCTCACCTTTTTTGTAATTGCTGTTATATCCCAGACAATATATCCCTATGACTAATATCACAGAGAAGTGATCTGTCAACAATATCACGAATGACATTTTTAACAAATCATCAATGTATTCGGGAGAAGCTTTCTTACTGTGGGGCACACCATCAGCAAGTTTGCTGCCGTTGTTGTTGTCGCTGTCGTTGTTGTTGCCATTGTCAGCATCACTAGAACCTTTCTTAGACCATGCAACCCTCTCAGCCTTGATCCTCTTCCTCTGTGTGTTGGAAGGTGAGTCTAGTAATACGATAATTGAAACGCCATCCGTACGAATGATCCCTCTGAACTTGTGTAGTTTTTTGTCATTTTAAGAATCGAGAAAAACCGGCCAACAAGATATATCACAAAATAGTGACCAAATTTCTTCTGGTGACTTGCCTTTAAGATCCCTCAGACGCGGAATCTCAGGAATCTCAATATCTAGACAAATATTATCCTTGTGCAGCGCTTTGAGCCAGCTCTTTGTGACAGACGGAACACCCCATGCAAGACTAGGCTTATCAATAGTAGTAAACCCTGGTACAACAGATGTTCTCATCGGAAAAGGAAAATAGAACGCACATCTTTGTTGAGATTTAAAAATCGGAAAACCTCAACGAAAGCCCCAATGTGGTTTAATGTCTTGGCCACAGAGTCATACTAGAGCCCCTTGTCGCCAAATCTGCTTGGTATCGATCTGCTTCCCGGCTTTGATGTTCTTAGCAGACAGTAGATCTCTCTTCATTGTGCCCGCTGGAATTCTGATTTTTTTGCTAATCCACTGTTATATTTATTTTTTGGTATAACCGCCCTCCTTCGTAAGTGTCTTGTATCGCCGTTCAGTTTTTTCTTTATGTCAAGTGTTATGTCAACCACATGCTTCAACTGTTTGTTAAAGCACTGAGACACATGGGATTTATATGCTGTAAGGATTGACGTACCCTCGTAATTAGCAAAATTGGCCGCACCAGTGAGATGTGGGCACTCGAACTTGATATCCTCGACGAACGTGTACCTGTACTTGTTGATGGGTTTGCCGTTTGCCGTTTTAAGGTTGTCGCTGCATGGTTTGTTTTGATCTCCGAGGCAAAGGGCAATGAAACAATCCTTAAAACCCTTGATTTAGATGGTTGACGATATTAAACCCCTCGTTATCCAGGGCTTGTAAAAAGATACACTGTGCGAGCTCGTATATGGCTGTTGTAACACGGTGGACGGTGATAACATTCTCGCGCATAGCTGGCAGAAAATAGTGATGCATTTTGCAGAGACCGAGGAGCGCCTCTATGCTAATGGGCATAAAAACATAAAAATAAAAAGTTGAATGCGTTGATTTGAAAACAGCGTGAAAAATGTAAAAACGTAAAAAGGCTTCTAATAATATGTGATTACATGTAATGCCACTGTATTCTTATATGTATTTGTATTTGTATTTCATTTGTAAAACAAATTCTTCTGTGGATACTTTATTTTTACACACATTTTTTAAAATATTTTTAAAAAAACTACTTGGCTTTTTGCCTTTGTTTCTCTAATAAAATGTAAAAATAGATGTATTTGCTTTTTATAATATAATTATTTGTATTATATTATTTATAGCCAGTATTAATGTCTTTGCATATTTTTCATGTAAAACCAAGCTTTTTGAGTCATAAATAGTCATTTTGTGTAAATGCATCTGGGCGCACTTTGTAAAGTTTAAGCTTTATGAAAGTGTTAGCAAAACCCGGGTTAAAAAATAGTTATTTTTTGCACAGCTTCCACACCCTTTCCAAATGTATAACGTCACAAAGGCAAAGCAAAAAGCTGCGGATAGAAAAGGTAGCCCTTTCCGCTCTAGTGCCAAGATATAATAATGGTAAATATAAATATGCTCTGTTTATTTATTTACATATCAGATTAAAAAAATGGTTTGCCAATTACTGATACCTTGACAGCATTCATGTATATCCTTTACAACGTCAACCAAGTGGTCTTAATTGCATGTGCAGTTGGCTAAGTGACATATGATGGCCTGCAATGAACTGCTCGCTCATGGTACTGCCGAGGAGTGGCAAGTAGCATTAAATAAAACTGGTGTAGCCATGCTTCTCGTACAGTGTGTGCACAAACACCATTGCTGCTGTTTTTTCTAATATTGTTGCTGTCGTAACGATAACCGGCAATGGCAGATGGTGGTGCTGGCGGATGTGGTGGTGAAGTGGCCGTGGGCAGGGGCTGTGCACGGCAAGTAATTTTATTTCATTTAATAAGTTATTTTGCAATACAATAACAATATTAGAAAACAGCAGCAGTACTAAAAAAATATTTATTACACTATAAAATTGACTAAGAAAATAGGAGGATTCTATTCCAGAAGAACAAGGTGGTGGTTTAAATACCCCAACGATGAAAATGGAATCCTATAGAAACGTATATGCAAATCAGAATGCTAATCATTATTGATTTGATCATGGCTCTATCTAATTACTAGCAACATATTTTTTAGGCGTGACACGTTAAATAGGGATCTAAATGCGAATTAAACAAAGAAAATATTGGGTTTGCATGACTTTCCATAAATACAAATATCGAAAGCCATGCGGGTTGTTAATGCGCAATGTCGCACACCATATTGCTGGTTATTTTTTTGCTCCAGCTTTTTGAATATGCATCAATGTTTCAAATCAGCTCAACCGAGATTCTGGTGTTAATAGGGTCGTGTTCTTTATTCTGTGCATGCGGGGATGCTTGGGCAAGCGGGCCCGGCAATCGGGCAAGAACGAGGGGTTTTGCACAATGAGGGTTGATGTGTGTGTGGGGAGGGGGGTATTTGTTTGCAAATGCGGGGCTGATAAATAAGCCAATTTTGCATAGCCAATAAAAGCACAGAACTGGCCTGGTTTTGGCAGACAAATGGCAAAAGGCAAAAGGCCAGAGGCGGAGAAAATGTTTTGAATAGAGTTTCATATGTTTAAAGCATGTGCCATGTGCGTCTCACACTTGCTACTCTGTACATTGAAATGATGGATGGTATCGGTGATTCAGCAACGGCGGAGAAGGACGTGAATTATTTTCAGAGTTTGGTTATTTCTGCAACTCACACAGCACACATGTGCGTTTACAGCCAGTAATATACAGCCTCCCCCTCTTTTTTATTCCCCATGTTATTTGGCGGTAACACTTTGCGTTATCTATGAAATAAAAAGAACGCTCAGTCATTTCATAAAGAAAAGGGTTAACTGAAATAACCTATATAACTAATGGATGCCGCGTGCGCTCTGTTGTCTAATACGTCGTCTTTTTTGATCCCTCAACCATTGCTTTTATAAACACGCCATATTTGGTCTAATAATACTGTTTGCATACTGTGTTCATTTCGTTTTTCCCAGATTAAAGACAGTGCGTATATCAAATTTTCACATATACATTTGCATTTGCACCAGATCCAAATCTAGATACGGTCTTCCATCCATTCATCCATATATCACTTGCCCTCCCTCCTTCCTCCCCCGAGCCAATGTCAGCCTTTCATCCGTCGGCAGAGAGCCTTGCAAGAGTCGCTGTAGAGGCAGGTCTTGTACATCAAGAGTCCGGACGAATGACCGTCCAATTGTCGGTAAAACCAAAGTAAGTATTGCCGTTTCTCTTTATGCTTCATCCCTTGGTCTACAATTTACGTGACCGTTGTGCTAACAACTACAAATAATTGCAACTCACTTTGTAGAAAAAAGAGGCTGAACCACAACGAGCTGGAGCGTAAGGTATGGCTCTTCCCAATCGTGGCACGTTATTTTATGATGTAACATGCAATATTTTTGAATATGCATTGGTCTATAATGGTCTGTACCTGTGTTTTAAAATGTTCTTACTAATATGCACGCTTTGAATTTTTAATAATGCATACGTTTCTTAGAGAAGACACCACCAACGAGAAATTCTTTATGAGCTGCGCGACGTAATCCCTAATCTGCATATGGTAAAACCATCGACTGTACTGATAATGCAAAAGTCGAAAGATTACATTGACCTGCTTCGTCGAACCATCCAAGAGATGGAAATTGAGATCAACGATTTGCGCCGTGCACTGGTTGCCGCCGGGTATCCTCTGCCAATGGCTCCTCACCAACAAGTTATGTGTGGGTTCCCCGGAGGCCAGGCTGTTTTCAACAGCTCCTGTCAGTCGCCGCGCTTGCTGCCGGAGCAGATGTTAAACATGTCTCCCCAGAGCCACATGCAAATCGACCACCAAAACCAGCTGGCGTTCCAAAACTTAGGTGACATTGCTTTGGCCCGCGCGCAATTTGATACGCATGATATTGACAGTATAAACCACCTGCACTCTGTGTTGAGTAAGGCCACTTCAGAACTCAACTCGGCAACTGGCCGGCCGATTTCTCCTGTATCACCGTATCAGCTTGACCAAATGCAGGGATGCTCGTCAGGGGAATTCAAGAGCCAGTCGCATATTATTCTAAGTGCAGCCTCTGTTGCCGCGGCCTCTGGACAGTCTGTATTGTAAACGCATGAATTGATATTAGCAGTTTTGGAAATGTCGCATTTACAGTGAAATATACTTTTTCGACTTTTTTTACAAAGATACATGAAAAAAGAAAATGAACAATTTGATATGTGGCGTGTCCGACCCTCTTGCTCTGTTAGCTTTTGGCACGCGTCTATTCTGCTAAAAACAAGGTAAACATCTGTGGTTTGATACCTCCAGTACTGATGGCTCTATTGCTTGAACTACCATTACCACCGCTGTTGTTATTGTTACTGCTGCTGCCTCCCTTTTTACTATAATCAATTTTCAACAAAGTAGCCAATTGTGTTTTAGTCAGTTGGTTATTAACTATATGTTGGTACAAATACAAACATTATATTTTTTCAGCAGTCGCTGATACGATGCGCCATATATTTTAAATACTTACGTGGCCAGGGGGATCGCAACACCGAGGGCAATGGCAGTGACAACCAATACCAGTAGGAAAAGCAGGCACCACTTTTTCTACATAATACAATATTAATGTTAGTGATATGATCTTGTATTTTGCTTGCATTGTCGATTTCAGTTGTTATTACAAATGGCAATATTGCTGGTTACAACATACCTTTCTAATTTTCATGCTCAGACGAGTTGCGCGCTTGACTTCGGTAGCTCCTTGAGTTACATACTCATCGGTATTGTCTACCGCCTGCTCAATATTATTTAGCACATCCTGCTGCTGTGCGACGAGCTCTTCCATGTCCACGAACATGCGGTTCAAAAGCTACATTCAAAAGAATTAATATTATTATTGAGCGGTGCATGGTGGGTGGAATAATAAATTTGTGTGTAGCAGTAGCAGTAGCACTTTAATTTTGGTATTGTATTGTATTTACCTCTATTGTGCTGCTGATCTCGCGAATATCCTTATCTCTATTCTCAACATCACGCAGCATGCGCTTGGCAACTTTGCTTCGGTAGGACGTCATCACATCCATTGCAAAAACAGAACGCGACACCTCGTTGCTTGCTGCTTCGGCGACTTCCTCGTCGGTGGCGTCCGGTCTGACTATATGGTATAATTGTATGATATTTTGTTTAGTGCAGTGTGGGAATTAAAGTGTGTAAAGCAGCATAAAATCAGTGCAGTATTTAGACTGAACTCGCTCGTATATTACCTAGCCGTATATGTTTCTCCATGCGGGTCCTGTATCGCTTCTGTGATTCGCGCTCGAGCGTGCGGTACTTGTCCAGTACGGTCATCAGCTTGCGAGCCAAAACTGTGTGGCGACTTCTTCTTGTTGCCTCTTGCCCGGGGCTGAGTTGGGTGTTTTGATTCATCTGATCGACAGCGTTCAGCTCGCTCTTGAGCTTCTTGATCTGGTTATTTATTTGTAATGTTTTTTGGTCCCGCAGTTCGGCAATGGCTAATGATAATAGGTACATAAAACAGAAGGATATGGATTTAGATGAACATACAATAACAGCTACTGCAATATTTTGCACAGAATGTACAAGTTCAAATTACCTTCAGACTTGTCCCCATCGGCTGTAGAGAGAAGCCGCCCGTGAAGAACCCCCAGCTCGTCAACATTGCTGCTAACGGAGTTAATGTCTCTTTCGATGCCGTTCAACTATAATATTAAAACAATAAAATCATCATAATACGATGAAATTGAACACATTATAGTTATTACCCACATCCGTGTGACACACGATTAGATTGGTATTCGCGCGTTGGACGGAATATACATAATTCTGGCTATTCGCAAAATGTCGCACTTACTGTTGAAAAATATTTCTCCATCTCCACATTGACGCTAGAGTCGCCGATGGAGGACAGGCTTCCTGGGGAGCCGCCGTCGCTGCCGTCAGACGCATCCTCTCCCCGGCGCGCAATAAACTCTGAGAACCGATTGCGATTCATTTTTTGGGTTTATGAAACGGATGGCAAGTTTAAGTAAGCCGGCGTCAAGGCAAGGGTTTTAAAGTGTTGGCAAAGTGGTTTTTTGGTGAAATTACTTGGATATTTAGCAAGGGTGCAAACTGATATTAAAGAACATTACCAAAAAAGAAACCAGCAGCTGGGTGCCGTGATCCCTCGCCTGTTTATTTAAGGACATCAGCGACGGCTGAAAACCCTGTGTATCTTTGGAGCATTGAGAGAACTCGAGTAAAAAAAGTGGCGTTTTCATGTGTGATATGTTTAATAGCCACCTTTGATGTGCCTCAAATATATGCGCATGGGTGACATGTGTGACGGCAACCTGGCCTGAGCAGCCTAGGCCCACCAGCCTCCGATTTAACAAGGCACATAAGTATAACTATTTAAGCTGGTATTTTATTTGATTGAAAATTTGGCGTAGGGGGCGCGCGGCCAGAACGCTGCGCATAAATGCGCCCTTGTTCCTGCATGCAGAAAGGGGATGGAAGCCTACCATTCGTCGTCATCATCCTCTTCAGAGTCAGAATCTCCGGCAATGGCCTTGTTGCGCTGTGCCAATGCATTTGCAAGTGCATTGGTGAGGTTGGCCCCGGGCTTAGCTACGGGAGAGGCACTTCTAGGAGACTTTGCCTGCGGAGCAGCCGAGCTGTCAGTTTCGCAGTTCGGTGAGCTGGCTTTGGTTTTGCGCAAGCCGCCGATGCCTCCAGTGCCACGGATCGAAGCGAGTAGCATGTTCCTGGAATCACCGCCCACAGATGATATAGGCAAAGGGCCATCATTTTCCTGCGTGGATGTTGGGGGCGGAGGAGGGGGTGCCTGGGTTGGCGGGCCTGGAGGTAGCATCGGTGGAGCCATTGGAGGAGCCATTGGAGGCCGAGACGTAGGTAGATTAGGTGCCATCGGAGGCGCCATCGGTGGAGCCATTGGAGGCGCCATCGGAGGCCGAGACGTAGGTAGATTAGGTGCCATTGGAGGCGCCATCGGTGGAGTCATTGGAGGAGCCATTGGAGGCCGAGACGTAGGTAGATTAGGTGCCATTGGAGGCGCCATCGGTGGAGCCATTGGAGGAGCCATCGGTGGAGCCATTGGAGGAGCCATCGGTGGAGCCATTGGAGGAGCCATTGGAGGCCGAGACGTAGGTAGATTAGGTGCCATCGGAGGCGCCATTGGAGGAGCCATTGGAGGCGCCATCGGAGGCCGAGACGTAGGTAGATTAGGTGCCATTGGAGGCGCCATCGGTGGAGCCATCGGCGGTGCCATTGGAGGCCGGGATGTAGGTGGATTAGGTGCCATCGGAGGTGCCATTGGTGGCGCCTGTGGAGGTAGTGCTGGCCGGCTCTGAGGCGGTGGCAGCAACGGTGCCGAGGTTGTATAATGTTCAGGCTGCGATTTATAAACTGGAGACGACCCGTTAAGCGAAAGACGTGGCGGTGGTGGCGGAGCTGCAGACTGTGGCTGCGGAGACCGGCGCGCATGTCTTGGCGGAGGAGGCGGCGGCGGTGGCATCTGATGCTGCTGCTGCGGTTGGGTTGGAGCAGACCGAATCTGCACTGGCGATAAGGGCCGGGTTCTTTGCCGCGGCGGCGGGGGTGGTGGTGCATTTCGTCTGGGCGGCGGAGGCGGCGGGGCCTGATGAGGCAAAGCTGCCCGTCGTCCTGGACCTGAGCTATACGCCGAAGTTGCGACGTGCTGCGATGGCGGTGGCGGCGGCGGCTGAGACTGCGGAGGTGGAGGCGGTGGGGGAGGGGTCTGCAACGGGGCTGCCGGGTGTGCAGAGCGAATCATGTTGTCAACACTGCCGTTTTGCTTGACAAAGTCCTTGATGAGGTTTGCGGTGCTTGGATCATCGAGCATATTCTCGGTGATGTTGTAGGCCGCCAGCGCCTTGACCAACTTTCTGTACTTGTCGTCGTCAAGGTTAAGTGACCTTTGCGTGGCGCTCGGCCCAGAGGACGGCGCCACCGCAACCTGCTTCATTATTTTGCGCGCGCGCTTTTTCACCTTGTCTTCAAACCTGGCCGCCTCGTCTGGGTCTGCAAAGTCCAGTCCAAAGACGTGCTCATCGCCGACAACTGTAAAGAAAAAGGGCGTCTGCTTGGTAAACTCAAATCCGCGGTAGAGCTCCTGCTCCCATATGACTTGCTCCCCACCTGGGCTCAGATTGACAATCCGCAGAAAGGATGCGTCATTATTGTGCGTGTCCTTCACCAGCACCAGGCCTCCAAAGCGGTGCGTGTACGACCACCTTCTCCGGTCGGGGTACGCGACAAACAGCCGCGCGATTGCTGCTCCAACGACACTCTAAATGCAAGTAAGAACACAAAGGTTGCAATTTAATTCAACAAGCTTGAGGGTTTAGTGAATCGGCGCAAATGTATGCCACTGGTGTGCCTCAAAGTAAAAAGAGGTTGCAAAAAATGGAATTGAAACTCAGAAACAACCGGGGTGCTAACACATTGCAAATTGACCGTATTTTGCACTTTTTGCGGCCGGAGCGTATTCAATATATGTCTGTGCGCTTACTTACGTGCTTGGGTTTTGGCTGGGCTTTTAAAATGGTGCTCCTGTCGTCGTGCGACAGCAGCGATGGGGCGGGCATTCTGCTTTAGTGGGCTGTCTGACAGAAAAGTAAATTACAAGCGACTATTTGTGGAATGCGGAAGGGAAATAAGATGAATCCTCTGTCGATTGGGAATTAATAAAATAGACAAAAAGCCGAGAATAATAAAGAAAAGGAAACCCAAGCTGTCTTTTTTCCTATTACATTTAATAACTAGGCGGAACCACTATTTCTTCCATTCGCTCTTCTTTCATTTATCTCTCCTTGTCCCCTCTTCGCTGCCTGACCATGCGCGCAAATCAACGTCTATTAATGCTGCCCCCATTCTTGATAGCATGGCACAAGCTGCAACTGGCGTGACCTCTTTGTGAATGATGCAGCCCACCCAGCGGAAGAAACAGAGCCCGTGGGCAAGAGGTGCCTTTGGGACAGAGATAATTGCAGCAAGCCTAAACATGCGCATCGTCTTCAACTGCTTCGGCGATGGATTGGGGATTCCTGCCCGGTTCACGCAAAAAAGGACAAAAGACGATTGGGACAAATATGCTCGGAATTTGGCCTGTCTATTGCCTCTAATCAAACGAGCAAGAGCCCAAACGGTGCAGAACCGGGGATGCATCTCAGAAGCCAATTCCTTTTTCCCCGCATATTTTCGATATGCCAGTGGTGTTAACGCCTTACTTATTCTCACAGGCTTGAATACATTCTCGACAAGCTGTCTGAGTGACCAGCGAGTGAAGTGAGCGGGCGGGCAGGCGATGATGGTGATGATGGCTTGCTGGCCTTTACATTTCGAATTCGAAACACCAAGCTCAAATTGGACAAGCCGAGAATTGAGCTGCATATCACGTGCAGGTGTTTTCTGTGTCAGCCTTTCCTTTTCCCCACATATTTTCTCCATGTACCCAAATCAAGATCACCCCAATCACAGAATGTTTGTTTTGCTCAGCTCGCTTGATTCTAATTTTAGAACAAAAGAGGGCGATCACCATAAAGGAAATGATCATAAAGCGTAATAAAAAAGCGAAAAGCTTGCTCTGGCCGTATGAACATACGCACAAGCACAAGCACAAGCACAAGCGGCATTTGCGTCATCTGCGTCATCTGCGCCATGACAGCAATATTGCAAGGATATGGCTGATGGGCTGGTTAGACCGTGGATGCAACGTAGATGAAGTGCAGAGCAGAGCAGAGCGAGTTTAGAAAATAATAAATTAAATCCCCAACAAACAAAAAAGAGGGTGTTGGAAATGGAAGCGAAAAGGGGATTATTAAATGGCACATTAATCCTGCGTTAAAACAAAACATACACACAGCCCTAGTGAGCGAATAATTAAAAACCCGAGTCGTTTATTAAGCAGCCAAGTTGAGAAAGGCAAACAAAAACATGAAAATAAAATAAAAAAATTTAAACGCAGATAGAGCAATCAGCCAAACGGTTGGTTGTTTTAATAAACCGCGTCTATTGCTTAGAACAGGGCGGCGGCAGCAACCAGAGCGACACCAGACAAGGCAGCCTTCAGGGTCGAGGCAGAGCTCGAGCTGCTCTTGCTCTTGCTGGACAAGCTGCTGCTCTTGTTGGATGAGCCGCTGCTCTCCTCGTCCTCGCTGCTGGCAGACTCGTCATCAAGCTCGGACTTGGCATCGGAAGCAGCCTTGGAGCTAGACTTGACATCGGCCGAAGTCTCAGCGGCGGTGTTGGCGGCGGTAGAGCTGGTGGTGGCGGAAACAGCCGAGCCGCTACCACTGGTCACACCTGCGGGAACAAGGTGGTCGGTGACAACGGTGTTGGCCGGGTTGTAGATGATGTTGCACTTTGCCTGGCAGTCGATGGCGCCCTGGTAGTCGAGACCAATGCAACCCTTGTAGCACTCGTTGGTATCAGCGATCATCGAGGCGTTGGGGTTCGGGTTGCCCATGCACGCGGCCTGGCAGCTGACATCTTCCTTGCTGTTGGGGCACTTGTTCTCGAGGCACTTCTCGTAGGCGCTCAGCGACGACGAGCTATTCTGGGCGACGGCGACGGCGGCCATGCCGAGAACGATGGTGGCAGCAAAGAACTTCATGATTAATGTAGGTTTGGGGAGGGGTAGGTAGCGAAAACTGTGAGGTGGGAGTGGGAATTAAAGCAAAAGAAAAGAAACGGAAAAGGCTTGCGGGAAGAAAAGATACTTGGGAGCGACTGAGCAGCACAAAGTGGGAGGCAGAAAGAGCGTGTTTATAAATGAATCAACAAAAACGGGCGCAAAGAAAATTTATGTTGAGAAAAATAAGGGGTACATCTCCTTTAAGGGCTGCTTGCCCGAGAGAGTGGCTAAGACAATCATCCCTCTGTGGTAGCGAGCGGGGAGAGCGAGCCAACAGTGACAGCAGCGACAGCAGTGACAGAAAGGCACATGAAATGAAAAAATAAATGACGGAGCACTGTTGCCTTTGTATTTTATTCTTTAAAATGCAGGCACTGAATCTGAATTGTTTGTTTGCGAAAATCCTCTCGATTATTGTCAAGACCGGTTTTTTCCGCCTTCTATTTTTACATCGTACGTTGCAGAATAGTGGGCAAAAAATGCGATGAGCCAAGGCGATTCGATTACTTGCGGACTGAGCTCATGCGACAGCGAATCAGCATGGTTTCTGTCACCTGGAATCCATTACCTTCCATTTCAAGCGACCTGTGCCCCTCCGCAGCCGGGAGCCAAAAAAAGAGCGCTTATTCCCCATGCAGTCGTCAAGAGACGTATATGGCTCTGATTTTAATTGGCTTGAAAATAATTTGCATTCTATACATGGCTGCTGACTATACAAGCTCGCCTATTGTAGTTTTGTTTTTTCAACTCAACTAGCACAAACAAAACATAATTAATTTAAACAAAGCACAATGCGTATATATTGTCTTCGTAACGTGTTTGTTTTGCTTTTGCCTTTCCTTTTTCACAATGCTTTGAATAAAGCTGCACAACGAAGCTCCCAAGCAAAAGACAATGGCCAGCGCCAAAAAGCGACACCTCATTTTACAAGCTAAATCATTACCACCGCTTAAAATCACATTGTTTTGAGCGATGAAACTTGTTTAGATTAGTTCATCTGAGTTTGACTTTTTTGGGGAGTGGATTTTCAACTAAGTCTTTTCACAACCATGTATTTTGCCTCACTGCTTTTGATCGCGCAAAGAGGGATTGCCCAGCTTTGTGCAGCTGCGAATGAAAAATGGCAAAGAAATGCTGATAATCATGTTTCTTTGGATCCACGACTTCAAGAATACACTTTGTGCTGCTATCAAAACTTTGGTAGTTGCTGCTGTACTATTTATTTGTGTTGCCATTTTTAGCCAGCAGCAAATACGCGCACATTAAACCTGAGCTATATTGTATGTTAAACTTCATGCGGATACTGATAATACATCCAAGGCAAATACAAAGAAATTAATATTTTACTTTGGTGTGCGTGTTGAAAATAGCACACAGATCACTCAATGACTAAAGTAAGAGAGAAAAACTAGTAGATTGACATGACATGACACAACATGACACATCCTAATGGAACACAATATCGCCACTACAAAAAACAATGTGCTTTTAAGCATATAATTGAACCACCCGATAATGAAATAATCGTGAGAAACAAACAAAAAAGTAGGGCCTATTCTGATGTTTAATGGCTTGCGCTTTAATATGCACTGCTGGTTGAAACTCGCACATCCGCTACTTCATATTACTGAAGGAGTATTATCCATTAGGCCCAATGCTCGCCTCTGCTGATGATTCCACCTTTTCTCATTCAAGTCAAAAATAATCAAGAGAAAATTAAATCAAATTTTTTGGCAATATCCTGCATAAAAGGGGTGGCTTTATTACACTATAATTTAGGTCCAAATAAAAGAGAAGGACTATATATGTTGGCTGGTTAAACCAACGACAATCAGTGCATTTATAAATAGCTATAAAGGCATACAATCACAACAATTATTGTTGTGATGCCTTCTTCTTCGTTGCCTTGGGTTTTAGTACTCAGTAAATAATATACCTTGAACCCAATTTTCTATCAGCTTAGAATATACATGAAGAGTCAAAATGGTGTTTTAAATACACCTGATATGGAAATGGAATCCTAAAAAACTATTGCAAAGCAGAATGATAATGATTGCTGATTTGATCATGACCCTACCCAATTCCTAGTAATGAATTTATGTGTCACACTGGGTTATGCCATTTGCCTTACCTGCTTATGTGGTCTTCCTCAGCAGCCACTTACTATGCACTCCATTTTGGCTGGGTGTTTCCTGGAAAACCCACTAATAGGCTCTTTTGTGGGTTCGGGTACTCTCCAGGCTCCCAGGTGCTGTCATCTTCATTATAGCCAACCCATTTGCCCAGGAACCCACCTTTATTATCAACATGGTGCACATCTAAAATTTGCTCAACTTCCCATTCTGCCCTCCCATCAACATCATCTGGTGGTGGGTGATGTAACTCATGTTTGAAATGTTGTGACCAGTGGTATTTCTCAATATGTTCTACAATGATCATCTGGCTGCACTGCCAATACACATGTTGTTAACAAGTGTATTAAATAAATATTCTAAAGTATATTCTATCAAAAATACAGGAAAAAGAAGTCAAAACTAGTGAATGTTGTTTTGCCCTTTTTATGCTTGTAAGTATTAGTGCTTACAAAGAAAAGGGCAACTGATGGGCATTGGCTACAAAGGAAATGTGTGCCCAATACTCTTCCATCCTAAGATACTACCAACTGGTCTATGTAACGTCTAACTATATCATCATCGACATTATATTCATTGATTCAATCCGACTTGGCCTCTAAGTAACCAGTCCATTGTATGAGATGTTGTCTACAGTCTTGATGGGCATGCTGATCCAAAATTTCGTCGACTTCAAAGTGGTCTGAATTATTGTGATTTGGTTTTGGGTGCAGCAACTCAGTTGGTCTTGAAATGTATGCCTTGAGTGACGATATGTGGAAAACATTGTGTGCACAGATATTGGGAGGCAGTTCAATATGGTATGTGACAGATGAAAGTGCCTCTAGGATCTTGTATGACCCAAGCCAGTGGGCACTCAGTTTAGTAGTGTTGGAATTATGTCTTACCTGCTGTCGGATGATCGACATTCTAGAATACTCTAAAGTATCCTTCTGGTTTATTTATAACTTTCTTATCTTCACTCGCTGTCTCCTGTATAATAGACAGCTTTCCTCAGTCTCTTCACTTTCATTCTTTAGCTTAAAACTTTATATTTTTCTTTCTTTTAATATAACTTGCATAGCTCTGCTTCACTGTACTTTGCTTGTTTTTCACATGCAGATGGGTGGTTGCATTCATAGTTGGAGTTGATCATGCTGGTACTGATCATGACAAGCTCTCCAGCCTTGAACAGGATGACACAACAGCTGCAGTTTACTTGGGTTGTCATTGCATCCTGGGTAGCTGCCAGTGTGTCATGTGCTTGACAGATGACTTGCTGGTGACGGTTCATGAAATTGGACAGAGCCAAGTTGGTCTAGTTTGTAATGCGAATTCGGCTAGTTATAATATATACTAATTAAAATGAGACTACAAAAAGAGTTAAAAGCTCATTATTCGGAATTCGCTGTACACGTGAAATATCATAAACATATTTCACACATCTGCGCTATCACGTGACTCGGCCCCTATTTTTGATGTCACATAGTTGGTCTGTGGCTTGAGTAGAACATTGGGCGTGACTGCTTCATGACCATGTACAACATGCATTGGTGTCAGAACACAGTCTCTGGGTAAAGTCGAGTAATCACAGGTGCAGATTGATGTTTCTCCTTCAGCAGGATTAAATATAAGAACTTGGACAGTTCACACACAATAATGAGAATTGCATCATGACTGCATGGTATCTTTAGCAGAGATCACTATGTCCATCAATATTATGTGGAATGGGAAGGTAGGACAGTGTATGGCTGCAGTAGACCATTCCTATTGACAGTCATACTCATGCATGGGCAGTAGAAGGTATGCAAGCATGCAATTATTGGTTTCACTGTTAAATGTTCTTCTGTTGGTATGTCATGGTCATGTATCAGATGTAGTAAAGCAAGCTGTTGACTTCCTCAGCACTTGATTTCGGTTGCCAGTTCTTTATTGATCAGATTTTTTGGGTGCTGCAAAGCATGATAGACCTTCTTGAATTTGTAATCCTCTATGCATCCTTAGCAAATCTACTTATGCATCTTTTCATTGCCTGAGAGCACCACAACTGTTAATATCTCAAGGTGTGGGTGGCATGACAGCCCATGGGCCAGCTGGTTGTTCTTGCCAGGCCTGTAAACAATATCAAGAGCATGTTTATTGATGACAATGAGCCAGCACAGCTGTGTGGGTGACAATTCACATTGCATTATAATGTACTTGGGTGGGTAGCAGTCAGTCTTGACAATGACATACTAACCTACCAAGTAGTGGTGCCATTACTCCAGGCCCTGGACAATGATAAAATTGCTTCTTGTTCTGCATTTCATATTTGCACTGTGCACTGTTCAATTGCTTGGTGAAGCAGTTAGCAGGGTGCCAGCTATCTGAGTGCATCTGCCCAAGCACTGCACCAACGCCAAAATATATTGCATTAGTGATCAAGTATGTCTGCAAGTCATTGCAAAACAGCTTCAGGATTGGGCCTGCACACAGTCAACGTTTTAGTTATGTGATAACAGCCTTGCAAGCAGATGTCCATATGTATTTGGTATTCTTGACAAGCAGCCTGTTGAGTGGCGCAGTAAGGTCAGTGTAGTTTTTAACAAATTAGTAATAGTAGCCAAAGGTGGCCAGCAATTGGTGCATCTGTTTTGAATTTGTCAGCAGCAGCCAGGAGGAAATTGTGAAAAACGAGCAAAGCTGAGCAAAGAGAAGGTTTGCAAGTTATATTTAAAAGGAAGAAAAAGATAAAGTTCTAAGCTAAAGAAAGAAAGTGAAGAAACTGAGGAAAGCTGTCTCTTATATAGGAGACAGCAAGTGAAGATAAGAAAGTTATAAATAAACCAGAAGGATACTTTAGAAAGCTCTGGTCTTGCAATCATCTTACAGTATGCAAGACGGAATTCCGTCATGACGGAGTTCCACTAAGAACAAAATTCCAACACTCCCCCTGACAAGGTGCTCACATTATACCAGAGGATGAGCGATGTCTGACAAAGGCATCTAGGGGCAATTGCTTGGTTAGATAGTCAACAGCTCGGTCAATGGTCAAAATATACTTGAGATGATATACTTGCTGAGATAGTGCAGCATGAGGAAGTTGTAGAGTAGACTTGTAGTGTTTGTTGGCATCAGTCACAGCACCAGTCCGTGTATTGTTGATAGTGCCCTCATTGTCACAGAAGATGGTGGCAG